CACAATATTTATTTGTTTAGGGACCTGAGTATCTGTAACGTTTACTCCTTGACCGGCGAGATCATAGCTAGTCATAAAATAATCCAAGGGTCAAAATTCTATGCCAAATGCGAATACTACCACAAAAGCAATAATTGTTGTCAAACTACGCATCTCAAAAATATTTACTGCCACATTTATTCCTAAAAAAAAAAAATTTATTATTTATCATGTAAATGATTTTTGACCTAACCCTAATAATTTAAAAACTCTAATATAGGTAGTACTACTTAAGTAGTGAATTTATATATTTTTTTATATTATTAATTTATTAATATTGTACAATATATAATGTAATTAATTATTCTTGTATTAATTTTACCTATTTTGTTTTTTTTTTTTTTAGCCAATAAATATTATCTTATCTTATTTAAAAAAATATTTTGATCAAAGACATTTTTGTCATAAGATATTTTGACCGAAAATATTATGACATGAAACTATTATCATAATACACTATTGAAAATATTCAACTACTTTACCATGTAATTAGGTGTTTAATTATGACTAGGACCACACGGTATTTACATGGAACACGGTCATATTAGATTATAGTATATTACCACGTTATCTTTTAAATGATAACCATTATTGTAAATGGTATAAACCTATAACTTGGTGGCTAGTAATTGATATTTGCTACTAGGCGTTTATTTCCGCATCCATTAACCTATACATTTCACATTTACAACTAAACCGTTTTTTTGTTGCCATTTATAAGCATTTCTGAAAAATTTTCGGGACGATCACAGAGGAATTTCCGTTATGTCGTGTTCCAAGAAATTTCTTACTCGTACTGTGCAGTGTAATGACATCCAGTGCTCAAGAATTAAGAGCCGAGAGTAGCACAAACGAGTAACACGCACATCAGTCACCACATATTAGACATCTGGTGGTAAGGTAAATTTACGACCGTTATTTACAATTTACTGTAATTACATTTAATAATAATTTCTAATGTGTATAGTTGTTTGTAAAATCTAAAAAAAAATATATAAGACGCACGCGTAATTGCTCTAAGTAGTCTAAGTTATCAAATGCCAAAAAGAATGTTTAAAAAAATAATAGTATTTAGACTTGAAGTATAAGTAGATCGTAAAAACTCATCAAAAATGAGAATTTCAATTTATGCATAATTCAAGCATACAATATAGGCTGATAAGCACATGAAGGGTTTTAGTTTATTATTTTCAATAACGAACCTGTTAAATTATCTATATTCAGCAATCCAAAATAAATTGGCAAATAACTATAAAAAATTTCTTATTAATATTAGTACTTAGTAAATATCATACTTCAGTATTAAATTAGAATTCCAGAATTTTTTCAATATTTTTAAGTTATAAGAAATTGTAAAACTATTTAGTAAGTTACTAAGTTAGCATAACATAGGACACTTATACAGACCACTCTATTCACTATGTTTTCACAAATTAGTAATAGCAATTTTTTCCAAGATAAATTTTATATGAATAATAAGATATCATTTGACAATTAGTAATGTTATAATGGATAGTAAAACAATTTTGTTGTTAATCTTTTTCCTGCGAACCAAGAACTACTACGCCATTGCCAACTAGTAACTACCTAACCAACCAGTATTTTGTACTTTACTTATTTTTGCAATATTGGAATTGTGTTTTTGTGATAACGCTATAACAGTATAATATCTACTGTCGGTTGCCGAGTTTAATAATTGTACCTATTGATTCTTTTTATTGACATAATAATTATTATTTAATCATATATTAAGAGGACGCTATACAGACATTTGTCGTCTCTGTCTTACAAGTGCATAACATAGCAAATTTACATTCAGTAGATTAGGTTTAGCTTCATTAGTTTAAAAATTAGAGTGAATTGATCTATATTGAAACTTGATGGTAAGAAAATTATCCGTGTTTTTATGTGGGTGTTTTACGGTAGTTCAATGTTTTAGCGAGTTTTGTGTATATAAAATATAGTGAATTAAAAATGCTCGTAACTCATTTAAAAAATTAATTTATCGTAATAAACTAATAACCTACATACAAATACAGAAAATTTTCTTACCATCAAATTTCATTGTAGGTCGATTTACTCTAATTTTTAAACTAACAAAGCTAAACCTAATCTGCTGAACGTAAATTGTCTATGTTACGCACTTGTAAGACAAAAAGAACAAATGTCTGTGTAGCGTCTTCTTAATAATATTATTATCTAAATAAAAGGTCTACTTAAATAAAATATGAAACTGTGAATTGTAAATATATGTTTCTAAATAAGTAATTATTTTTTATTCAAAGTTATAACAAAAATAGCAACTAATTACATATTTTTAAAGTTACTTTAGAATTATATAACTGTGATTACAAGTTATACAAGTTACAAATACGACTATAGCTTATACAATTTTTATAAATGTAACTGATTACTGCCCAATGCAACATATATTATTATTAGTAAGTTAAGTAAGTTAAAAACCGAAAAAATAAAATTTTGTTTTGACTTGGCCGCATTTTGAGCTATACGTGACCAAATTCTGTTGAATAGTAGTCCAGTCGATAGCTTTGGATGAACGTGCTTAGAAAAGTTACTATAATAGCAAAAACCTACATACAACATACATATTATAGGTGTAGACAATTTTTAAGGGGCCAAATACGTACAATTCACAATTATTTAATAAATTTCAATAAACTATTGCTACAATCAATTCATATAACGTATGTACCCACTAGCCCAATACAAAAAGGGCTACTCAAACGATTGCTCCTCTTTCGAAATACGATTCTGTACGTTAGAATTATCGTCTGGAAAGTCGATGCATAAATTAGAATGGTGGTGCAGTGAATATTAATATCCCGTATTCAAGGGGCGATGCTTATGGTGGAAGAATGACAGTGTTATATAAACTTCTTGGTTTATTTCTGTCTATTGATTTAAAATGATTTAATGGTTATTATTTTTTTTTTTTTAACAAAAGTATATTATTTATAAAAATAGCACAATAAATATATATGAAGAAAACAGGAAAAAAATAACTTAAGATCACTTGTTTAAGAAGTCACCTAATAGTAACACTTAGCTTGAAGATAAATTGCAAAAAATAAAATTATAATTATAATAATATTTTTTCTTTGTTGTTTTTAATTTTTTATATGAATTAGATAATTGATAACAATCAAATAACGATAAAGATATGTAAGCATATTTATCGCCATCATGGGGCGATTTACCTCAAGATAATACTCATAAGTAGGGCTAGGATTTTAGTGACCTAAAAAATCTAAAAAATGACCTAATAAAAATTAAAAAATGATCAAAAAAAATGACTCAATAAGAAACAATGACCTCATTAAATGATCGAAAAAAATATAATTATATTAATAAATTAATAAATAATAATTAATATTTATAAGTATACTAATCTAACGAGTATATTTTATATTATACTTATAAACGATTGGTATTTTGAAGTATTAAATATTTTTAGAAAATATGTTTATGATTTTATTTTAATGTTGTATCTTTAAATGTTTGTACAATAATTTATAACAATCAATAACGACCATTTATAATTTTAAAAAATTAAAAATTTATAAAAATATAACCCAGATTTCAATATAATATAAAAAAATGACTGTAAAATTGAAAAAATTACCTAAAAATGCTAAAAAATGATCCTAAATTCAAAAAAGTACAAAAAATGCAAAAATATACAAAATAAAAACTATATATTTAAACTCGTAGATGACCAAATCACATTTTGTTCTTGAAAAGCTATATCTTGTAAATCCTAAAAAAAAAAATGCAAAATCTTTTACTATCCTAGCCCTGCTCATAAGTATAATAAAACGCATCATATTATATAAAACGTTTCTTTTTTACATAATATGATTTATGTGATATATCATTATAATTAACTAACACCTGCAAGAAAATAAAAGAATATGTACACATATTGTTTTTCCATGACATGGTCTAAAATTAGACAAAAATCCATATCCCCCCTTTTCAAAAAATCTGAGCGCTGCAGCACAGATAAAGTGAGGAAAACGAAAGAGAGTAAAACGGTAAAGGATGAAGACGTGACGTGAAGAGAAAAAGTGGAGTGGGCCAGGTGTGGGTCGTGGGTGGCGGCGCACTCGTGGCGGCGGCGGCGGCGTCGGTTCAATACTCGGTAATCAAATTGTCTCGTGCACAGGGGCGTGTCAGGCTTTAATATTAACCGCGGCGTCGGGCCTGCTAAACAATAAACGCATAGCGTAATGGCACGCCATGGCCGGGCGGGCGGCTGCGAACCGGTGCGCACGCGCCCGGCGCACTATTTCACTTCTAACTCTTTCCGGTTGGTCCCGGCCGCACGCCGCCCCGGACACCCGGCCGCCAACCCGGGGGTTGTGACAGTCGGCCGACCAAGATTAAGCCTCTCCGGGTCGAACCTCAACCCCCGAGCCAAGCACCATCGGCCGACGCCACCGCCGCGCCACCACCCGCGCCGCCACCGCCCCATATACACCACCGCCGCCGCCCTCAGTTACGCCGCCGCGACTTTTACCGGCCCGACGAGTTAAGCTCCGAGTCCCGGGGCATAAGCCAAACGCGAACCGGATACGTCACTCGTACATAATACACGCAACAATCCGATTATTTTTACGCGCGCGCCGCTTGCGATATTTTTTTCCGTTTTTCGAGTTTTTGTTATTTCACCTAACTTAGCGTTTTCGCGTCGGTCTTCCGGATTTAAAATACTATGATTTCCGATTTAATGTATAACATCATACACTAGTCTACTGCACAACTCGCACGCTACTCCAGCAGTGTATAATACATACAGTTGGGAACCTTTACGTATTTATTAAAGGTGCCAGTTTTTCCATATTTTATATTATAACTGTGATAGACGAACCCGTTTGTTGCTCATATTACTATTTATAGACTATAGTAAATTATCGTCTTCACATTTCAATATTAAATTATACCGTTCCGGTTACGATATTTGTGTATATTATTATAAGGTAAGTTATATTTTCTAAATCCGTATTTATTATTATTTATATGATAATGGTTTAGCTAGTATACACGATTCAAAATTTATTTACATATAATGTCTCATTAAAATACATATAAATTTAAAAAAAAAAGTTCTTTCTATTGGAAAAAATCAATTTTATGTAGTACCTAGGTACTTATACACAATATTTAAAATATTTGCTAATAATTTAAAAAAAAATTGTTTCAACTGTATTGCTTCGAAATATAACACAATTGTATGAAAAATGTATTTTATATTATCAGTATTCATACATTATATTTTAAGTAGTTTAGTATTAATTAATTTAATCATAATATTATGAATTACAAAATTAATAATATTATTAAAAATATATTAGCTAATATAAAAATAATAAAATAGTTCACTTATTACAGGCATTTAAGCTATATCTCATATACACATAATAAATAAAGATCTTGTAATGATCATACTTATGAACATCCGTCCAACGTAGTCCATATGTTATATGCAGTTAGTTATAATTAATTAGAAAATAATTTGCAATGTAGATATACTATTAATAATTTTAATAAACAAATTTTAACATAAGTATTTGCAATTTAATTTGATAACTATTCAAATAACGTGTAATTAATAATTTTATCATGATGTACTCAATAATTGAAAAAATATTTCAAATTCGCTATTTACTAAAAAAAAAAAATTAATAATTAGAATGTATATAAATTATTAATCAACCTATTGTATAAGATAGGTATCTAAATTTTTAAAAACCAATGTTATCACTAAAATATTCAATATTTGCTAACATTCCATTATATTTTTATGAAAATACCAATATTTTTTGGGATTATTATTTTTAAAATAATAAAAAAATAAACCAAATGTATATGGTCTTTTTAGGTATTATTAAAACCATCTCAAAAGCATATGCAATAAATAGAGAAACTACCTACATGAAAAAATTAAACTCCATCTAGCTCATACACCGTAAATGTGTAAATGTGTAATTTTTTTATTGCTCTTATAGACATAGTTAAATTTGACCTATACGTTATTTTACTTATACATTCATTAATACTTATTGTAGTTCAGTAGTTTTATACTGGCTACACTGCTAAAATATTGGAGTATAAAATATTTTAGTGTGTTTTCAACCGAATTTATAAATATTCGAAAGTTGAGAAAATAATATTAAAATTATCTATGTTACTGAGAATTTGTTGAACTGCAAACAGTCTACACAATACGTATTATACATTTTATTTTGTTATAAAAACTAAAAAAAATTGATCAAAAGGTTAGTTTTTGTTCATAAATGAGTCATGACATGTAATAATATATGTGTATTTTTATTCAATTTAATTCGTTTAGTATTTTTATTTTTATTTTGCTTTTAAAGGATTTGATGATAATAAAAAAAAATACGCTTACCTATTACATTTTTTGTACGTCACCAACCTATAGCCATAAAAAGCAACCCTAATTTTTCAGACTATAGCGTATTTTTAAATAAAAAGGTGTTTCTATAATCACTAGTATTTTATATAGATATAACATTTATATATTTTACTCTAGAAGTATATAAAGATAATTTTAATATTTATTTATTTATTTAAGATTTCAACGCTTCAAGGGCTAAGAATACAAAAAATAAATAAATAATTTAATTAAAAATACAATTTTCTTTACAAAAAACGTAAAGAATTTAAAAATAAATCAACATTAGACAATTTATTAATACAGCGCATAGTGCAATATCGCTTGCGTAGGAACTCAATATTAGTTGCATGGAATTTTATTTTGAAAATATATAAATGCCTTGAATACATCCCTTATGGAGCATATAAAGGTAGTTGAAATAAAAAATTGGCAGAGTCGATTGACCCATACAATAATTTTTAAACAAACGAGATATCTAACTTTCTTTGTCTAACTATAAACGATTTATTAATACAGCACCTCTATATACTGATACACCAAAATAAAAAGATTGTTAAATCATTATTAAAATGAAGTTATCATTGATGATAGGTAGGTAGGTAATAATAAGTAATAACAATGTATTAACTATAATGTAATGATAATATTATCATATTACTAATAATTATTATTTATCTAATATTAATTTTTACTTTTTATTTTCTATTTTAGAATTAAAATGAATCTAACTACAACTGATGCAGATCGTTCATTCATTTCAATACAACAATCTGCACAACCAATTTTTTCATTATCTGATCCAAGAATGGGTAGTATTCATTTAAATTCCGAAAGTGAAAATCGAGGTAAAGGCACTATTCATTATTTTAGATTAATAATAAACAAAATGAAATATTTTCAAAACAAATTATTAGATTTTTTAAATCAGTATTTAAAAAGCTATATTTTTAAAGCTGATGTACTATTTGAACTGCAATTTAAATTTAATAAATTATAACACATCATTTACATAACTATACAGTATAATAATAACAATAATAATAATATTATTTACTATAGAAAAATAAATTTTAACTATATGAAATAAAAATTACAATTAATTCTTATGCCATAGTTGAACATTATTTTTTCTTCGTTAAATTTATACACAATAAAATAAAATATTTATTTGATAAATAAAAACAAATAAGGGCGGATTATAAAATTATTTAAACACTCGATCACTTCGAAATTTTTATAAATGTAAGCTGTTCGGATTTTGAAAAAAAATTTCAAATCAAAAGCGCGTATTTGAACATCGTTTAGACTCAAATAATTTGCGTTAAATCAAATTAAAGTAGTTAAAAATAAAGTTACAACTTACAATTATTATTTATTTCCAATAATTAAAGTCAGTTTTAGTACATTAGTTATTATTATACTGAAAATTGAAACTTAATTTTAATTGAAAATAAAAATGTGTTGTATTTTAGTTTTTTTTTTTTTTTTGTTAAGTTCAAAAGAATAAAATGAGATTTAGATTTTAGTTCGAGTTCTAATAACTAAAAAAATTAATTTAGTTTGAGTAGGTGAATACTGAAATTTTACCCATTCTGACAAAACTTAGATAGTTACTGAAGTAGACTGCCAAAAAAAAATGATTTTATATTGGTATAAAAATGTATTTATTATGTACACTAATTATTTTATTTTTAAATATAAAAAAATATGGTTTATTTACCATTTTTTGCAACTATTATCTAGTTTTTTATATTATGTGGAATTATTTTACACGATTTTTATTATGATGTACGTGTATATAGTAAGGTAGTTATTTATATTAGTGAAAAAAATTATGTCTAATAATATAATGTAGTAAAACAATATAATAAAAGAAAAGTAAGTAGGTATATATACGATACCAATGGTATACTATAGTGTTTTTGAACGCGATGAGCTCAATCTGCATTACTCATTGTTAAACAAGACTGATACAGACGGCAGAAGAAACTTTAAATAGCGACGGAAGATTGGAATAAATGAGTGTTGGGGCCCGCGGTGTATTCCCTTGGAGCTTAGAAACTCCCGGCGGCGGTGGCGGCGGCCGCGCGCATTGCAGAAACGGGGTGAAGAAGAGGAATAAATCTGTTGCTAAATGGGAATACGCATCCTGGTGCGTGCTGTCGCCCCACTTCCCCTCGCCAACAATCCTTCATTCGCCAAAGTCAAGTCCTTCGTGCACGCCGGAGACAGAAAAAAAAACATTTCCCTCGGAATATAGTTTTGCAATTTGTCCGATTTCATTAGCATTTCTAACAGAATCGTGTGCGGAGGGCGACAAAAAAAATATAAAAATAAATAATCCCTCCCCTCACCACCGTCACGCGTATACTTACCCAATTTCCGCGTATATTTATGCAATCAGACGCAGCTAACAATTCCAACCACTTTGGTGTTCGCCTTTTTATTTTGTTTTTTACACTCAAATATATCATTGAGTTATTTATTTTTCCAGATTGTTTCTTTTACATTATATAATATCGTTCAACCGTTGCGAAGGTACTATATTATATTAACTGTTATCTATTTAAATGTAGTTTCTCTCATTAATTTAGTATGGTACGTCAGATTAATTCGTTGACACTGCCGTACCCGCGTCGTCATTCACCCCTTTTTATAAAGAAAAAACTCACATTATTCAATTTGTTAATTATATAATATGCAATTTATGCATATGTAATATGTATGTACCTATAGCTATACAGTATACACTATACATTATGTTTCAAAAGTCTCGTATTACTCTTAATATATCCATGAAAAATTAATATATTTTTTTAGAATAAAAAAGTATGGAAATTCTGATTAAATGGCATAAAATTCAATTTTTTTAAAAAAAAATTCAAAAATTTTCAAAATTATTTTTTATGCATTTAAGAATTTTAAATTTTTTTAATTAAGATAAGACACGGCTATTTTTATTTCTATTCAAATCAAAACTTAAATTAGGTATGTAAAAGTATTGCCATGCTGGGATAGATATTTTATTATTGAAATGTGAAACAATTTATTTTATTCAATTAAAATATATTTATTTTTTTTTTGACCTGCTTAAAAAAATACGTTCAAAAAAATGGATATCTTAAAAATTTAAAATTCTTAAATGCATAATTGTTTTGAATTTTATGCCATTTAATCAGAATTTCTTACTTAGTACTATAAAAAAACCGCGTTTAAATATATTGATTTTCCATGGAGATATTAAGGGTGATACGGGACTTTTGGGATATACTGTATATAGTATCCGATAATTTCATTATACAGCCTTTTTATAATTTTTATTCAATACTTGACATATTTGATAAAGTCAACTGCCACTATATAGTGCCAAGCATTTTAACGAATAGGGACTACTTAAAAGTATAGTACCTACTAATCATAATTTTGTAATAATTCGCATAAAATACTAATGCTGTTATATCTTAATGAACATGCAAAATAATAATTATTTTATTATATTAAATATAGTAAAATTTTTAAAATATTATGTTTTACATCTTGTGATTGATAAAACTTTACACTATAGGTAGGTACTATATACAACTTATTTTTTATCTCGTTTTAAATTCTTACATAATTTTTTACTGACTTTTCTTTTCTCAAATTAATTAAATTACAAGTTACTAAACACCTGTATAGTCTGAAAGCTAAGTAAAATATAGTAAATATATTAAAAAGATAAGTGTAAATTGGTAAATAGATACAGGTTATAAAGTCATTTACTTACTATGAAAAATATACCTTAAAATATATTAAAACTACTGTAAGAAATATCGATTGACTTATTGGTATGGTTGCTAGTTGTTAATATGTTATTAAAATTTAAAATGTTTAGGTACTAAAATAAAAATAAAAACTTGTTTAAATAAGTATTGTTATGCATATTTTTTTTTATTTTTTTTTTTTAGCCTTGTGAAAAGAATTATAATTAAATATCTTAATTTAAATGAAATTATTTTTTAGTCATTATGTTTGTCTGATAATTTTAGTACAACTACTATACGTTGTTTTCTACAAAAAATTAATTGCAGCATATACAGTATGCATATAGTAAATACTTGCTTAAGGTACATTATTTTATATTATCTTCACTCTTGTATATGCTGAAATCCCCGGTTACCAATTTTCAATAAAACTAAGTAGTGACACATAGAAATCCTTCTCTAAAAAAACAATGTTTTAGAATCCGAAATGTATTTTCTGCGATTATGTTTAATAGTCAATCTTCATTTTGTTCCAGTAGATTTTTTTTTATTCTATTTACAATTTCTGCTTATGATTATTATAATTACCTTGTATTATGAATGAAGAGTTTTCTACTGAATATTCAAATTATATTTTTTTGAAATCTTTAAATTATATAATTACAGAACAACTATATCATACAAATATTTTGTATAGTTTGGTATCCTATTACAAATATTTAATAAATATACTCCGTGTTTAATTATTTTTCAATAAATTTTAAGTTACAAATTAAATCACTTATTAAATGACATTTAAGCATAAATTATTTCCGAAAGATTGAAATATCAATGATCTACTATTGATCTACTAATGATAACTATTATAATATCATGATTTCCACTAGAACAATATAATATATTACTATATTAAAATATTCAATATACGAGTGCACGCTATACTTGCCGTTAGTAATCTTATAATATAATTAATTATAAAATGCATATTATAAATACATGATACTATTGTAATGTTGTGTACTAACAGTATTAAACAAATAATGTCCTTTATACCAGCGATTCTCAAACTGGGTGTCGCCAATATATAAAACAACTAGTAAAGTCTTTTTAGAAATATTATTATAATCATTACTGAGAATTACAATTGATAAAAGTTTAGGATTGCCGATAAAAATGTAAGATTTATAATATGAAATTTTGGATGGGGAATACTTATAATTTATAAATATACTTATAAAGATACTCAAACCAGAACAATAAATACATGTATTTTAAAATTGATATGTGATGAAATTGGTTTAGGTTACACAAGTTTGATATTACACTTGCATGTCAGATGATTATTATAGGTAAAAGTCTTAATTTGTTTATTTGACCTTAAAACCAAAATAGAAATATTTTTGAAATTTAAAAAATCTGTGGTGATTAACTTATTTGTTTTATTTGCATTATTATTGTGTTTAATACCTTTCATTTAATAAATACAACTATTGTTCAGTCTTTTTTTCTTTTTCTTTTTTTTTAAAAATTGGAATTATACCGAATTTATAGTTAATGTAAATAAGTTCGCAAAAAGTGCGGTGTATATTGTTATTACTATTACGTGTTCCGTAAGAACCAATTAATTTATCACTACTTTTTAATATTATCATAATAAAAGGGTTGCTTAAAATCTTGGTGATATTATAAGAGTTCGCAGCCTCAAAAAGATTGAGAACCGCTGCTCTATACGTCAACAACAAATCATAATAATTATTAATAATCTTCTTAAAATATAATCTTATTATTTTAACAACATTAGATTATGTAGTTATGTTAAAATAAATATTATTATACATAGTATATACTATATAAATAAGTAGAGTAATAATTATAAATTCAAAAGTTTTCATCCAATAATGTTCATAATTCATGATATACAATATTTATTATATTTTGTTTCTAATTCTCTCTTTTTTGCTGTTTTTATATGACTATTATATTAACTGCAAACAAACCCTATACTTAGTTTGATCTGAAATATATTTTCAGAATCCCTTGGGGCTTAAATTCCTTGTTTACTTGCAGTTCTTGTCAGTTTATTTAGATCCACTGGTCAATTTTCAAATCTTACTCCATTTTTAATTTATATGTCACGAACATTTTGTAAATTTAAAAAAATATTAAACATCGAACCAAAACGAAATAAACAAAATAACTTTAGTTTAATAGGTTTCTTATTAAATATAATATTTTACCTATAATATGTATTGTATAATCATTATAATAGTTTGAGTATATATAGTTTAATTTAAAAACGATTGTTTAAAATATTACGACTTTCATCTGATTAATTTTATCAATACATTTTTAATGGTTTAAGAGCAATAATATAGGTACATACCTATAACCTATCACATTGTAGCATTTATAACTTTACAATATCAGTAAAAACATTATCTCAATAAATTATGCTACACTCTCGTTTTTCTTACTCTTCATATTTCATAATCATTGATTTAATATTTTTCAAATATTATAGAATCCATTTAGAGATGAGTATCGTATTAAATAATTAGAACCAGGAAACTGAAAAGGAGCTTTTATAGTTTCTCTTCTTATCAATTAAATAATAATAAATCATAATATTATAAACAAATGTAATCAGTATAAATACTATATATTATTATAAATTGTTGTATAAATGCGGTTTTTGGCGTACGGGATAGTAGACGTCATCGTCGTCGGTAGTGCTGTAAGATAGTAACTAAAAAATGACTTTTAAAGTTGCGTATAATATAATACGCTGTACATGCGCGAGCGGCGGCGTAAGCGACGATTCATTCGGTGTCCGGAACGCCACGCCAGATGTGCCCACGACCAACTCGCCCTCCCCTTACGAAGCCGGCGTTAAGCCCCGGCCGGTTTTCCAAGCGCACACGCCCCCCATGGGGATAATCAATCGACGCGCTGCTTCCGTCCGTCCACAGCGGCGGCAGAATATAATGTATTATATATATATATACACTCACCAACTATTGCTGCCGTACCTCATGCTCAAATAAGCCAGATTTAATGATTTCCACCACTGCCTCCCCATCCAGATATGTCCGCGGACCGCGAGGGCGCCTATCCCGCGGACTTGATAGTAATAATAATTATATAACACAGTTTTGTACACAACGCAGACGCGATATAATAATATCATATAATATGTCAAAAGTATACCTCGACCAGATGTTTATTTCATACTCAATTCTTTGTTTATTATAATTTACACTTCATTTACAATTGCAGTGAAACCTGTAGGAGGTATGAATTACGGACAGTCACAGAACCATCAAAAGAGTTCGTTATTGACAGGTGTCCATTTTAGACAGGCTCTAGTATTATTTTAATCAAACTTGTATAGGTACATATATCTTTTAAATGAAAATATTGTACTTTTATAAAAAAAAACCGTGATAATATTGAATATTGATATAAACTCATTAAATATACTGAAAATAGTCACGTATATATAGGAACGTATAGTAAATTATACAGTGGCGTCATTTGAATTGAACAAGGTAGATACATATTTATGTTTTTAAAATCCAATAATATGTTAATTAATCCCACTTTTAAAATCAGTTGGCCTGAAAAAAGGATATATTCTAAACAGGGTTTGAAGCCTACAAAAAAAATTAAATGACGCATACACTAGTAGAAAGCCAATAGTTTAATTTCATGCTATAATACTTGTAAATCGCTTAAGAATGCAATTAATATACGATTTGTACGTTTTTAAATTATGTGAAATCGGTTATGATCTACACTCACCAACTATCACGATTCGCCGCTTTTAATCATGTATACTAATAATTGTGAGACGGAGACAAATATCATACTTCAAACAGTAGTTGAAAAATTCCATAACAACATTTTATTGTTTTTCTATTAAGAATATATTTTAATTCTAAATTCAAATTAAAAAAAAAAAAAAAAAAACACCGTCAAAGAATAAAAATTGGATAGATCATAAAACAAAGATATAAAATGCAAAAAATAGTGGTCTCTGAAACGCGCAAGGTATAAATTTGGGTTTTAAAAATTCAATAATATACTAATTAGATCCAATTTTTAAATCGGTTGGCCTAAAAATGGATAGATTCCAGTCAGTTTATGTTCAGCATAAAGTATGGATATTAAAAAAAAAAAAAATTGAAATAACAATAACGCCACTGCATGAATACTATTAGGTATTAATATTATGCAAGATTAACTTCCGCGATAATATATATAGAATGTAATTGGTCGTCATTCGTGATTTAACATTACAATATGCGAGTATTGTTGCGTAGTACTTACATACTTAAATTTGAGTTTCAACCGAGATTATTATCCATTATACAAGTGTCCGCTAAGTCAGGTTTTACTTTATTTTATTTTTTACTAATAATATTCCATTTTGTCTTTTGCCGTCGACGTTCACGGTGACAACGCGCCATGTGTACCTCTTTATAGTATAAACATGATATTTGTCTTATATACTAATTAGGTTGAACTTATTAACTTTTAATTCTCAATTTTATTATGAATAATAAAATGTGTCTGTGTATATGTATATGTAATTTACAATTTTAGACTGAATTATATTTTCATTTTAAATTTGTGTAATTGGTCACGTTTCGGTTGTCGTTAACACGTGCAATTTTCTTCATAATCTAATCATATTTTGTTGTGATATGCAAAATGAATAATGTTTCTTAAAATTAGTTTATAAATAATTAATCTACATAGCAATTTTTATGTGTATATGTATACTGTGTGTGAAAGTGATCCACAGCCAAGAGGATTTGTCGGCTCACGTAAAACTAATATTTTCTTATTTGAATAGGGTTTCCATTGGTTACATAAAATAAAAAATCATTAATAAGTAGTTAATAATTTTAGACCTGTTTTTCATGTTTATTTTGAATCGCCCTAATGAATGTGTTAAAAGTATGTGTAGCTTAAATGTAATAGAATTTAAGATAGGTAATGAAAATTCACTAGAATTATTATTTAACTTGTCACGGACAAGTTAGTAGTTACCATCCGTACATGATCAAATATTATAACTTATAGTAAATAATTATATCTACTGTGCAATATAAAATTAATAGCCTAAAATGAACGAGTCTGATGCAAGTCCACGTCTACAGTTTTCGGCCGATTTTCTTAAAATGTTCTCCAATCGGTTCAACAAAACCCGTAGTAGTGCTATTAGGGTACATTTTTCTTTAGGCACGTAAATAATGAATATACAGACTAGTATTATTTTATTATCGTTGTTTACTACTACTCATTAGTTGTAGAAAATAAAATAGCCATTATGAATGGATATCATTTAATACCTATACCTATTTTTGTATTTTGTCAAGACAACCTAAACAACTGCAACCCCTGCGGCACAATAACGCATGCTTCTGTTTGTTGGCATCCTCTTTCCGCCCCTGACCCGCACAAATCTTCGTCATGAACTATATACTAATGCTCGACCACGCACTATGTTTGCTATACAGACGCGGACTCGAGTTATTCCATGAGAGACAGGCCGCTGTCGCTTTGCATGTCGGCTGCTTGTGCCGCCCAACAGGTGCCGGTATCCTCATCGAGAACGCCGCCGACTTCGGTCGCACCGACCTCGGGACATTACTCGGCGGCGGTGACGAGTGGTCAAGTCGTAGCCAAGACCAAGACACTGGGACTGACTTGCGTCGTGTGCGGCGACACGTCGAGCGGAAAGCATTACGGCATATTGGCGTGCAACGGTTGCAGCGGATTCTTCAAGAGGAGCGTCCGCCGTAAACTTATCTACAGGTCAGTGGTACATAGGCTTGTGTGAGATATAATATGATATCCTTATTTTGGGTTTTACGTCAAATTATTCTAAAACCAAATTATCCATAGTAAAATTTCCCAAAATTGAAATATCCCTTGAAAATAAATTTACGACAAATTATAATGATTAATAATAATGCAAAAAATATTATTTAGCATATTATTACAGTAAATAATACTTTTAAACTATTTTAATTATTTGCCGAGTAATAAAACATTCTATGTAAATAATTCCCGTTTTTATAATATGTTGTAATACGTGGATTATATTGTAGCTATGTATAACTTAAATCATTTTATAATTTTATAAAATTAATGTACAATTTAAAAATCTATGTTATAAAGTAAAATACACGTAAAGTGAAAACGATTAGCTCGCAATAACTCGTACAGTCGTACTTTCTCATTATCAAAATAACAATTAGAAACATATTACTTTATACAGAGGACGTGCGATTGTTGAACTTATAATCACAAATTTTATTACAGGGGTTAGTTTTAAATAAATATTTACGCGTGGTACTTTGGTTTTTGAATATTTTGTTGGGGATATTTTTACCGGGGTATTTGACGTGTCACCATTATTTTGAAATATTGCAGTAATAATATTGTATAATACGACGCACATATTTGAGAATATATCAGCTGCAGTGGCGTATTTAAGGGTGTGGGATTATTTAAATTTAAGCGAATAATGAATTTGTTTTAGGGATTTAACATAAAATGTATTGCACACATTTAATACAAGACTTCCTATTTATATAAAATAGTATTTTGTTTGGACCATTGTTATTAAATTATATTAACTTGATAAATACGTTTTATGCGCTCCCTTCAATAATTATAAGCTATATAGGTAGTCCATTATGTAACTGGTTTGTTGTATTATAATATTTTAAAAATAAAATGTTGAGTTCACAAAAATGACAACAATTGTATTAGTTTCAAATAAAAATACAATAAGTCAGACAATTCTTTACTTGAACCGGGGAATAATATTTTTAAAATTTACTGTGATTATTTTGGTCTTTAATATAAACTCGATGAATAGAAAAAAAAACTGGTAGATATAACTTAAACTTCACCCTCTTTCATATTCAAAACATCATGTCACGAGGGGTTCGGGAACAGTACAGTACAATACGTCACTATACATGTGTTTAATCGTAATTTGACAAAGCAAATTAATTCAAAGTGTGTACAGTTTTGTGTGAATAATACACATCAAAAAGTGTTAAAAATTATTATTTTTGTTAGAACTATGAGGTTTATTAAATCGTGTGATTTTTTTAGTAAAAGATTTAAAGATAATATAAGATTAAAACATTCATATTCATACACAAATTTTTTTTTATTATTATTTCGCTTAAACATCAAGAGTTATCAGCGTTGTAATATAATATATCAAGATCGTATAATGTAAATACTTTTTTTTAAATGTATTTAATTTACGATTTATATTTTTAAATAGTTTATTAGTTAATATAAATTAGTTTTTTCGAAAATTTTAGTATTTTTTTGTTATTTTAGTTTGAGGTTCTAGTATTTCGTGAGGTTTATATGGTAAATTATTTTATTTTATTTCACTTTCATATCAAAATTAACAATTTTTCATTTCATTTTTTTTTTTTTTTTTTAGTTATTTTTTTCTCAACTCCAAAATTCTATAGACAATAATAAATTTTATTACTGAAAACAACTATTATAGTTATAATTTAATACACTGGTATAATTACTAGAAATAATTATTATGACTTTGAGAGAAAATGGAAATTATTTAGATAATACATATATTTCAAAATGTTTAATATTTACGTATAAATGTTTAAATGTATAATATGAATAATTGTAATTATTATTATTAATTATACAAACATGAAACAATCTACCTATAAATATATATACATAAATATATTATATATATTTATGAATATAAATATGTGCTGCAGACGCTACAGTATAGATATCTATGTATGTATAAATAATAGTTTATACGAAATCCTTTTGAAATCGTATAGTGCTGCGGCTGCCGATATTATTCCATTTTTTCTTCCCAAGCGACCTGTAGTAAACAATTCCCCTTTGGTGATTTTGAAGCCCATAAAAATCCAATGTTTGTTCGCGTTATCAGATAGCCTAAACATACTAGTACCACCACAGACTGTACGAACATCGCCGCTGCAGTAGTGATATTCCATAATCAAATGTGTATACATACATACACATCCGAAATAATGTATTTTTTTATTTGTACACAATACCAAATAGAATATATATTAAGGTATTATGTTTTATATATTTATGTATATGTGGGTATTAAACGACGCGTGTTGCCATGTTCCTTGCTTTTCTCTTACATTCTGCATGTATATATATATATACATATATGCATATAACATATTATACATACTTTAACTGATACGTAATATGTTATGTGTGTATAATATATATATATATATATAGGCATTTTCCAACCGTTCGTTTGAAACCTATAGGCTGCTGCAGAAATCTTTTTCTCCTTTTTTTTCTTTTCTCCTTTTCAATTTCATGTCTCTAATACTCTTGAACGGTTATAAATAAATGTGATTCAGTAGCGAAAGAGGGTTTGACGTTTTATAACAGCTCCTCGGGATTACTGTATCGGGACGTTGAGTTTACGGGGGTGGGGTGTATATAGTTTAGAAAGCCGAGCGCGGCAAAAAGATTCAATTATATATCTCTAACGTAGTAATACTACTACGGGCACGCCGTCGCCGCCGCGGGCTGGCCAAAAGCCTTATTCCACCTCCGTTGTCGCTCTTTTTTTCTCTGTCACCATCATTGCGTTCTCTCAGTCGTTCGCTCACTCACTATTTCCCGCCGTTACTACCATTACAAACTATACACGCATTTTCTCGAAATCGATCGTCTTTCCTTTTCGCAATATACTTTTTGATTGGTTTTCGAGGATAACACGGTCATAAGACGGCCACGCTACTTCACTGAACATAGCTAGGTGCAGTATCAGGTGCGGTTACACAACCACTCCTCATCTTGTCCGTGAAAGAAAACTCACATTATGACGGGGCATGTGTATACAATATACATATATATTGCACTTGCGTGCAATACATCAATGCATTATATTATTTATTATTTGATTTTAATAATATTTCTATTTATTTCATGAGCTTATTAATATGTATATACCTATATAATTATGCGTTCGCGCGTTATTATGTTAAATGAATAGGCATAGTAAAAATTTAAAATTATGGCAATATTAAAATGACAGATGATGTTATAATTTATAATATTTATATTATATTATTTCTTATTATATTTATGTATATACGATAATAGCGTATAATGAAGGTTTCCCTATATTGCGACCATTATCGACTGTTATTAATACTATTATTATTATTATTATTATTATTATTATTATATTATCTAAATTATATATACATATATTTGTAATATTTGCGATAATTCGCGTTGCGACGAAAAAACGATTGTTGAAGGCAATTGTTGTCCAACCGTCAACAAAAGAAAAATGGTCAATATAACGTAGTACAGACAGTAATATTTATTTAATACACTATAAACTTCTGTTTTTGTTTTTTGGTTCCTTTTTAATATTCATACACCACACACATCCCAGGTTGTCTCCGATCGATATGTCAACCAAATTTTATTAAACGACTTTCATTAGGCTACTACAAAATGAGTGTGTATAGTTTATAATTTACTGCACTAAATAGGTACTATTTAATCTAGGCTGTGACATACCTTAAAGTTATAGTTTTATTTTTGTAAAATGTGAAATGGAAATAAACTAAACAGTTACCTATGTAATTTATTGAACTAATTATTTAGAAATAGATAAAATACAAAACCAATAACTACCTATTCATTTTGTTTGAAGTTACCATACTACCTTACTATAATGAAATTAACAATAATAAATATTTTATTATTTCAATTAATTTATCAAATAACATTAAATTAAAATTTATTAAAAATGATTATATGACTAAATGGTTTTCGTTCTTAAGTTACTTATTCACTTTTATGTTATTTCGTTGTTTATTTTCTTTCACTTTACAGATGAAACATGGTGATATCGATAGTTTATATCGATAGTTTATATCTACAGTTAAATATTAATCCTATCAGTTAAAGTTAATACTTTTATTACCTAATTTGATTATTTTGTTTTCTAGCTTTATCAATAATATCTATCGAATTGTAACAAGTTATCAACGCATAATGTTATATAATTTATTATTTCTATAATGCAAAATGTTTAATACTATGAACGTCTACATAAATGCGTATGTTATATATTGAAAATTATACACACATCAAATGCACGCTGGAGTAGTATTTCATTATAGACACTATAGTGATGGTTACCAATGGATTTTCTGTGGCAAACGAAAATCAAATTATGAAAGGGTCTGTGAGGGAATTAAAATGGTAAACTTATTCTGTTGAGGGTTTCTGCCGCTCTTTGACCGTGACCCGCTAACAGGTTTACACTTGTGACGGCCGAACGATTACCTTCCACACACCGGATACATTATATGTACATGTATATATTGTATATAGTAGTAATAATTTCCACCCTTCGTGGAAACACATCGCCACTCCATATATGTTATTAGTGCAAATCCCATACCCACAATAGTAGAAGCTGCAGAAAGACGCATTAACGATAAATTGATTTGTTTAAAGAGTACCCTTCCCACACCCCATGCTGTTGCTCGTCCTGTGCTGACTGAGTGTGGTGCATACTTATCCACACACACACTCAATTCGATCGACGGAATTAAATCTCGGACCCGATCGCACCCCTGGGACCCGTGAATTCCACTTCACCATCACCCACACTAACTCTGATAGACGGTATATACATGCGTATATCGTTACAAACGAAGGGTCAAATTTATTCGTCTTTCTAAAGCTGACTTTTTTTTTAACTTCAAGTCATTTATTTTAACATTTATTCGAAACTCCCTGTTAGGTTTTATACTTTCATCTAAAAGAAAAAAACATTTTTATATTATATACTATCGTGCAGGATATTTGTACATACTAAAAAAAAATGTTAAAGTATTTTAAAATATGTATGTCTAAATGTCTTACATAATATTGTGTTAAATATATTAAAATTATATGTGCTATAACAATACTTTTTAGCATTATGGTTAAATTGGAACTTAGACTTTAGAGTCTATTTTTCTATATTCATTTTTATTTTATATTTTGTATAGGTAGTATTTAATTTTTATTATACATTTTATATTATCTTTATAGTTTATAATTTATCTAGTAATTTCTCCTGGTTTTATAGATTTGTTAAACTTTATTAACATAGAATAATACATATAGTAGACAATTATTTTGAATAAAAAAAACAAATAGCCTTTAATATTTTTATTTTTAATGGTTAATTTCTGGCTATTATTTAATACTATAAGATGTACGATATTGTATTTGTAGTAATTGGGGGTTCAAGGAAAAATCACTGCGAGGCTCTTTGTTCTATAATAAAATACTCCCCCCACTCCCCAAAAATACCATACATCACCTACTCATTTAATGTTACAATTTTCGTGAAGGATTTTTACAATTCAATAAAATACATTTAGGTATGCCACCTATTTTTAAAATAATTTAATGTGAAAGTTACAGTCGTCATTTTTAGCTTTCGGAATTAGAGCAGCAGGTGTGTTTTAAGATACCTATCAAAAATAATTTTTGCGCTTGCGTACTAGAAATAAGGGTCGTGTAATGGGAGTTTCTTCGCCATTGTCGACCGAATGAAAAACGTCTTGATAAAAATATATTCGTAAATACAAAAGCGGTATATTAGCAGGTACACTGCAAGACTGCACGATTAAAAAAAAAAAAACTGTACAATGTTTCTTATAATCTTATCAGAGTATATGAATATTTAAAACTACCTATAACTGTTTATTATTTATTATAATATGTAAATACTTAATATTTAGTAAAACATATGTACACATACTCCTTTAAACCATATAATATGTCTAAATGTCTTATATGAACAGATGAACTTATATGTTACATTTCGTTGTTTTGTAAATTATAGATGCCAAGCGGGAACCGGCAGTTGCGTAGTGGACAAAGCGCATCGTAACCAATGTCAGGCGTGCAGACTGAAGAAATGCCTCAACATGGGCATGAATAAAGACGGTGAGCAATCCGAGAAAGTATTTTAGTGAAATTATAACTTATAATAGTTATAATATATATTTTAACAATACAAGTATACAATAAAACCAAGAAGAGTATAAACCTGATCATTAATTAGATGCCTAGGTAACTGTAGTGGATGTATTAATTTAAATTCAATAATAAGTTATTGTTGGTATAGACAACATTTCTAAGTGGAAACTACATGCTATATTTTTAAGAATATTTTATTATAAATTTAAATATTGATATTAGTGATCGAATACTTATTTTATTAAAAATACAATAAATTGAATTAATTTTTGACAATAGCAAGTTTCGTGTCGATACCAATATTATAAATTATAATTTAATTAGCTGTTATAAGCTTATAAGTGAATACTGCGATTTACCGTAGAATGGTGTAAATAAGATCGTGGTACAAATAACTAAAAATAAATCTTATTTTTATTTTTTTAAATCATTTAAGTAAAAGTGAAATGTTTTAAGTTTCTATGATCAATTTATATTGAATAATAACAAAACACCGAAAATCGTTTGAGGGTTAATTGTTTTTATTTTTATTTTTATTATTTAGCTTTTAGTATATAACTATAATAGCTCAACAATTATTTATTTACATAAATGTGAATAAACATAAGGATTAATTGTTATTTTAAATTTTAATATCAAATGTCGTCAACATTCCACTTAAATCACTCGTAATTTGTAAGTGGCTTAATTTATTTTTAAATTCCAGTAAAAAAATTTTAAGAACAATCTTTATATTTTATTAACTAACTCAAGTTAATAAAATTGAATATTTTAAGTAATTTTAACTATACAATATAATTAATAGTATAATTATTAATTTACAGATTGTAATAGGGATTTATTTCTTTTCACTTTTCCAAAGTACCAACTAGATCAAATTCGCAAATTAAATCAATTTTTAAAATTTTAAATCAAAGAATTTTCACTGTTCTAAAAGGTGGTTACACTCCACACACAAAAATAATTTTAAAAAAACACACACTGACAGACATGTGATATATATCTGTTGTAAAACTAAAACATTTATCGCTTCGATTGAAATTAAAAATTTGCATTTAAAGGACTGTTATTTATAAATTCAAATTTTATTATTATACAATTTCACAAATTGGTTATCACAATAATACTCTACACATATAGCCATATAGACATGCGCAAATTTTAATCACAAGGTATTCTATGATCGAAATGTGATCTCCAAAATAATAAATGCTGATACCATTTCCTTAAAAATATTTATGATAATCACTTACCATTATTATTATTATTATTAATCTCCGCCATTATTACTACATCTTATTAGACAATTTTAAGTTTTTAAATATTTTTTTTTGTTAAAACATAAAACAAACGAGTATTTTTATAAAGACATTTTAATTAAAAAGTATGTATTTACTTCATGATTCTGGTTACATAATTAAGCGGTAAATATCGATCGTACTTCTACGTTTTTGTTATTTTTATTTTTGGAATTCGATCATATATCATTTCATCTAAAATAAGTGTCTCTTGCTCACAAGGTATGTAATTTTATATCCTGCATATATTTCGTGCTCATTCCATAGTAGTTTAGTAATTACTAATTTAGTATAGTAATGTATGGTGAAATTATAGGAAGCCAAAATTTTGAATTAAATAATACGTCATAACAAGCGATTTCGGGTTTGCTCAAAGTCTGATCGACATCCATGTTTTTTCCTCATATATACCTACCTATGTATGATAAATGTTTATTATGCATATAATAATCATATAATACATTAATAAAACACTGTCGTTACAATATGTCCGTAGTGCGAAATATAAAGGATTCGTGCTACACGACGTATGTATAATAAAGCTGTGACGGTCGGTGGCCACGTGTTCACACGGTGGTCGACCCTCGTTAAAAAAAAAAAAAACATCAAAACGCAGATACAAAAAGAAAAAGAGAGAAAGAGAGAGAATGATAGTGGACCAAGTTAACCGAGGAAAATGTTTTTCACGCTCATTTAAATAAACATAAAAAGACCACGTTATAATAATACAATATGTAAAAACTAAAAAACCACGACGTGTCATTACAAAGTGTAAGCGTGCGGTGACGATGTATAATGTATGTACAATCGTTTATTACTGTAATATAAATATGTATATTATTATAATTATTTACGATTTTATTTTAATGAGCGCGCGCGCGGGCATCCAACGAAGAGTATAATGACAATATATTATTATGTATACTAAACGTGCATGCAAAGTCGTGTAGGGTTTGTATTTTGTGCTCGTCACCCGTCTTTTAGCCTCCAGCCAATGAGTTACACACGTCGAGCTCGCCACAAATGAGGCAAAGACTTGCGGGAGAAAAAAAAACAGTAGCAAAAAGTAGAAAACGATATTTTATTATATGTATAACACGTCGAACGTATCGTATTATTATTATTGTTATTTTGTCGCACGCGGATCGTGACATGCGGTTATCGTGGACCCCGCGGCACCGTTATTATCATTAAAAAGCTTACGCTCAACAAACGCCGCCTCGAGATTTTAACTGCACCGACGGCAACAAAATCAAAGGGATTTCGTGCCGTGACAATCCGCCATATATTATCATCTATATACTATATGATATACATATTATAATATTTTAATAATGATATATTATGTATACACGTGTTTACGGCGTTATATATAGGTGTATTAATGCCGTGTATACATACACATAGATCTCACTTATTCTCACGCATGGTTTTTCGCATATAATAAATTATACATAAACGTTCATCATATTATCTGTATATTATACGTTAAGTACTCAGTGATATTAAAACAGAGTTATTATGATGTGATATGTGCGCGGGTGTGTATGTATATTGGCTATCGATCGATGCAGCAAACTTATAATTCGTTTACTTCCGACACGCGCTGTAATACCATGTAATGTACAAACATGTTACAATTATGATACAGTAATAATTAAATTATTTATATTTTTTAAATATTTACTATATCAATAATAATATTATTCTTTATGTATTTATTTTATTGTAATTTACGGAGAAAAGTATATGATACACTTATACCTATACACGAAGTAAATGAGGTACCGAAAATAAATGTATAAGTATTAAAATATGTATCACACATTTGTTTATAATTTATTGTAATCTATTATGCATATAAATAGCAGGGTAAAAATTACTTAAATTATGGACACCTTAACTTAACTTAGTCAAGTTGACTACCTTGCTTTTCCTTAACTTTGCAACTAAAGGCCGTCGCGATTGAACCACATGGCACTAATCAAGTTATATATATCAATAATTATAAAATTATAATATTATTTACAATTCAATTTATCCAAAAAAATACAGTTGTCTAACCGTTTCAAAATATCTATACCTATATGGCTATACACATTATATACAAATAACGGTTTCGCGAGGTATAAAAGTGGCGTAGGCACTAGGCAAGAAATATCTGACAAACTAATTCGGTGATAACAAAATTATCATATCATTTGAAAAACATTTTTGGGATTTTTAGGATTCATTTGAAATTTAAACATTTTACATAGGTATATTTGTTGATGAACCTAAAACCTAAGTTTGATTTCTAAGTAATAATTTTTAACTTACCTATATTCTTAATTTTATTATCTGAAATAGAACATTCTTACAAAAATACTATGTCAGAATTAAATTGCATATATTATGTATTTCTTGATGGAAAATTTCTAAAAAGAAGCTAATACTTTTCAAAAAAATCAATATTTTGTAATCGCCCTGTTACGCATATATGATTTACCTAGATATAAAAAAGAGTTATGTAGTTCAATTGTAGATTTAAAATTATATTTTTGATTAAATTTTGTTTGGTAATGAATACGTGTTTAGTTGAGTCCGATAAAGCAGCTAGTTGATAATGAATTTTTCTGTAGTTATTTATCTATATATCTTATTGTAAACAATATGAATTAAGTAAGTACAACGTGCCAACGTAGGATCAGATGAATATTTTCATACAAATGTAAATCAATCGAACATTGGTATTCAGTAGTTAGCGATAGTTATGACAATAATAATAATAACAACAATACAATGAATAAAAAAATGCAATAAAATAAAATACTTTATTAGTGTATTTAATTAGCTACATATAACTACTTATTTTAATTTTAGTTTAAATCATTATTAAGATTTTTCGACGTTATTAAGTACTAAGTTTGCATAACGGGAAGGAAAGGTTTTTTTGACTCGATTAGGTTATTTTTCGGACCAAGTTTATGGAATTCTAGCGTAATACGTCCGTATGCTTATGCAGGTGTATTGTATAATGTATATGTAAAACACTTCTATTGTAATTATTTCTACAAAGGTGAAACACTATTATGCACATACATGTGATCAATAAGACTAATCTATATGGTATCATTATTATATATATAGCTGTCCAGAATGAACGTCAGCCAAGAAACACGGCAACCATACGTCCGGAAAATCTAGCTGATATGGACCATGAACGAGTGATTCGAGAAGCGGCTGTGGCGGTTGGAGTGTTTGGGTGAGCAAATAATACATTATTGTTTATCAATGATAAATTATCATACTTTCGTTCATATACTTAATCGTGCTATTATATATTTATTAATTTTTCAATGTACAACAATAAAATCAATACAGCTATTTTATTACCCGTCATATACCAATATATCGTATACAACACTACATTATTATATATTATGATGGCAATAGCCGATGAATGATCGATTGAAGTTAATCTACAATATTTCTTCGCAGCATGCGATAATAGTAAAATAAAAATTATAAATCAATAAAATAAATTTTACAACAATTAACGTGATACAATACCATATAGTAATATATGCATTATTTACATGGACTTTTATATTATTGAAAGTGAAATATTATACAATACCATATCATATCATATCATATAATATAAAGTCCATGTAAATAATTTTTCAAAATCATTTATCGACGTGGCAAATGTGAGCGCGTATATATTACGTATATAGGGTTTGAAACATTATAAACACACCCTATTAAGTATTACATATATACATATATAAATAAATAGGCTATCGCGTTTTGCAGTCCACCCCAAATTTTGATTAATGGCTTATAAATCTCTTCCGTTTTGTTTTCGCGTCTATAAAAAAAAAAGGGTTCAGGTGTTTAGTCGCATTTTAATTCTTCATTTCGGAGGGTTGGATCTATTTTATACCCTTATGTTTTTTTCCTCTTTTATGTACAAAAGTCAGGATTATCTGCCTCTGCTTTTGTCACGTTTAATTTTTTTTCCCCCTGTAAACAATTATACATGAATATGCATTTTAAAATATAATTTAATGTTTGTACAGTAGCCAGTAGGTTTACCCAAGTGCCACATTTTGCGCACAATATACATTTGTTTAAAGTATAATGCGTATTAGTACAAACAGGACATCAAATAATGATAATATTATAAAAGTAGGTAGTCTGGCTCCGAAAATATGACACACGACCAGGTTGCCATAATAGTGACAAATGCCACAAGAAAAGTAAATTATTTAGTCTTGTTTGTTATGCAAATCGTATTCGAATAGCACGAAAACATTTCGCTCCCTTGTGGTGATGATGGACACGGTGTTTGCCAAAAACAAAAGTATAGGTAACCTATACCTTCCTACTAATAAGAGACAGACGCTAGGCGCGTCATTTACAACTGTTTTTTTCTCTCTGTAATTTTTGGTTTTTATTTGTTTTAAGTTTAACCGACTATCACGAAAACATACATGATACACCTATTCAATAAATGTATAGACACAGTATAATATATAGTTTGATACTTCGATAACATAAATAGGATAATACGCTTATACGCATCCGTGAAGGTTAAAATTGTATGAATTACATTATGTGGAATAGAATATTAAGACGCATGAATATAATAATATTTTCCATTTTATTGCTATACATTTCTTTAGTCTTTTAATATCTATTTAAGTACCTTAACTAGGTATCTCAGTCCAGTCGATTTATCATACTCAATATTAACTGTTAAGTTGTATGTATTACCTTATTTGGTTAAATTATCAATATTATAATTTTATAACTTAAACTTGTTACTAGTTTTAACATTTTTCGATAGATTATAGTTTTAGTTCGTATTTAGTATTTAGTATTACCTACATTTTTAAATGATTTATAAAGTACGTAATAAACTATTTATTCTAATTTAACATCTCTATAAACAAAATAATAGATCAATAGGTCGCATGGAATTAAAAAAAAATTAAATAAAACATAATGTATCTACATACATAAAAGATAAAAATACATATTACTTAAAAGTTAAGTGTATATAACTGTACGTGTATAAAAAAATCATTAAATGTAAAATAACTTTAATATTATGTTAAATTATGTATAGAAAAAAATTAGTTCTACTGTTTCAATATATACCATATGGGTATTTGAGTATCGTTTCATGACTAATACTGTATGTATAATAAATTTATTATAATGTTCTGAATAATATAAAATACATTTATTTGAAAAATTATTTTTTTCTCAATAACCAATTTATTATTATTCACAACATAATTCCTTATTTTATTACCTATATTATTAGATTCTCTTTTTTGTAAATATATAATAAGACCTAAGGTATTTATAAATGTTGAGATTATATATCATAAAAAAATTCGACTTTAAAGTGTATAAAATATGAAATGCTTATAAGGAACCTATTTATATTTAGTTAGTACAAAATTAATTACATTTTGCAATTAGCATGGAAATACCTACAGACCGTAAAAATGTTTGTTAAATTCTAGCAAAACTCCAAAACAATTACTTTTAATTTTCAATAACACATATTTTATTATCATGTATAGAGATTGAAGTTTGATGAAAGTGAAACAGTTTGGCCAACTCGCATCTGATGTATAACCAATAACAATACGGCTGTACGAGTTTAAGAAATAAGAATAGATATCAATTTATATGGGATTAGTTGTTCAATAAAACGATTTAATCCCACCACCGAATTACAAATTAAATGATGTCGGTCCCTAGTCGATTCCCTTCATATAGCCGGCCATATGGGTATTTTTGCAATGCTTTTTTCAACGTCATTCTCAACCAGAACTTAGGGATTAACCGTCAAAGGCACTTGTGGCCAATGACCCTAAAATAATATACGTGGGGGACAATGTCATTTGACTAATGTTAATTTGATGGGTAGATTTTGTATGTTATTACTTATTATATTTATTTACTATTATATATCTACCTATCAAATCTGAAATACTGTGAAACTTGCAGGGGTTGTATTATATATACATATATTATAACCACAAATGGGTTTTATTTTGAATAGTAATTCAACTCTATTATATATGCTATTATTTTATTAAAATAATAAATGCATTTAAATTTTATCAACTGTGGTTACGTAATCAATATTTTTTTTTATTTTTTTTTTTGTGGAAACTTACAAATATTTTATTTATTATTACTTATCACATAAAAGTCTAAACTCGATAATTATTTTCTCTCTCGGAGTCCCTAATGGTTTATAAATTCATAAATTTCATTGCAATTATTCTTAATAATTTTAAATATGTGTCGATAATACCATCTATAGGTCCGTTAACTTAGCTTCTCTCAACTTATTTTTAATCTTGAGAATTGAAAAAATTATAAAATATGAAGGTCTAAAATTCATGTACCAAGGTAGATATACTATGTCTTGTACTCTTGTAAAAAGAATATTGATATTACCAATTTGTGCTAACATTTTTCATAAACTCATTTATCATAAAAAATAAGATATTTATTGATAATTTTAAAAACTAGTTTTGTTCTATGTGATTAAAACATGAACAAACTGAATTAAACTGTCTATTTCTATCGAATTCTATAAATTTAAAACATAACATACTAATAAACATGAAAGTTTCTTCGTGCTTATATATTACCTTATTATTACCTACCAACATTATTATTTTATTTCGATTTTGAACCGGTATACCTATCAGTGGAGTCCTTTAAAATTATCGACTATTTATTGTTACCATCATTATTAATATTATTAAAAAATTATTTATAACATAAACAATTCTCAACAGGCCATGTCTTTACAGACCTCCGGTTTCAGTGGCATTGGCATTATCTCCTCTGAGATACCATCCCAACGGGCCAATAGCACCGCCGAACATACAGCAACGGCCCGCAGAACCGTCGCCGACCGCATCTTCATCGCCGAAACAAGAATCTCACCACGATGACCAAGATGATGGTAAGAATATAGACACATGAGTGGTAATATTATTTTAATAATATTATTATCGTGAAAAATTATGCCGTGACACATGTAAACAAACGGGTTTATTCGGTGTCGAGAGTGCTGGATACTCGTGCGCTGTATTAAGGGTTTTGTACAAGCACAATATCCATTAATCTCAAGTTAACGATATAACCATAATAGACATATATCCTTATATTAAATGTATCTGACAATTTAAACTCAATATTTTTTATTCGTGTAAAAGTTCGTTAACATCAAGTCCTGTTGTTTGACAACTTAAAATAATTTTGTGGGTGAAAATAAAATTCTAAAAATCTTGAAGTGATCTATCAAAGTTTAAAGAAATGAGCTCAACATATTTTACTCAAGAAAAATATCAATAATACAAAGTTATACTGTTGGAATATAGTTGGCAGTACAAAAATGATAAAATCTCTCCTGGCAAAAATAAAGTTTAATAATATTTAACAAGTTAAATTCGTTAAATATATTTCATATGACGTACGTATCTATAACGGTCGTGTTGCTAATTTTGTGAGGGTAAATAACTCCAATTATCAGTGGCGTATAAGTAGGTAAATATAAACCTGGGCGCATGACTTTCATTTGGGAACATCAAAGTAACGCTGGCTGCAGCCTGTACGCTAAGCGCTTATGTACTTATGTTTTTAATAAATTGTTATAACACTTATAATTATTGCTTATAAACTTTTTTGTATTCTATTACATATTTTTAACATCGTGTATCAGATATAATCAATAATCTTTATTATCGAGATGACGTAATTGTAATGTAGTTATTATTATTATTATCGATGTACATGGACACACGTCGTATTTGCAGACATGGATGTATCCAGAATTTTGGCGTCATCGTGCTATTTGTTTATTTAATAATTTCATAAAGATGTCGATAGTCCAGAATCCAGAATACATTTCATAATTTAAATTTTTAATAAAAACTAATAACTATTATATAAACACTGGCTGTATAAAAAAGTGATAGTCAAGCTGTCAAGCTCATCGTTCCCCTGTGTATAATTACAGCACTGCACACTGAAACGATTACGAGTAGATTAGTAGATATGTACCTATTATTAGACAGTGTATACCTCTAACCTTTAATTATTATTATTTTTCCTGCCGCTTTTTGGATTGTGTATGCTTTTATTAAGATTTTAGACATTTTTTACTTTTTTATAACATTAAATACCACATTACCATCGTGCATGCCACTGAATATTTAAATATCCTTATTAGAAAATAAGGGAAATCGGAATCCAATATTTTGGTGGGTGGATGGGAGGGGGTTTATTATGGTCCTCAAGTACCTCATGCCATGCCATATCCACAGATAAAACTATTTAAAGACACTATTCTTTTTTCTATATATCGTAGATGACAGTATAGACGTGACCAATGAAGAACCAGATACGTCTGACAATAAAAGGGCGTCGTCTTCGCCACCGGCGATTCCAATACCACTTACCCAACACCATTCTATGTACGATCATCATCCGTCATTTTATCCTGGCTTACACGAAAACGTATATGAAACGTCCGCCCGTTTGCTTTTCATGGCTGTTAAGTGGGCGAAAAATTTGCCGTCTTTTGCATCTCTTCCGTTCAGAGACCAGGTGAGAATTTTGTTCAATAACAATGTATTAAATGTGTAAATACCTACCTATTTATAAATTCTAAAAGCCAGAATTCGAATAAATGCACAATTAAATAGGTATGAAATGAAGTGATCAATATTATGTAAACTTGCAGAATGCAGGCAAATGAATCGATATTGCATTTTTTCATCAATATACTTATATGTATACTTATTATTAAGAATGAGAACTTTTAATACTTAAAAAATCTAAAAATATGCATGCACTTATACAATTAAAAACGAGATATATGTTCTAAAAAAAATTATTTCATTTTATTCATATGTGTAATTATAATATTTATATGAAAAATTATTTTTTGATTAATTAAATAATCAAAATAAAAATTAAATTTGTTTGCCTTCTTCTTGATCTTTTTGTTTTCTTTCTTCGTTTAAAAAAATAATTTTATAAAATTTATTTTTATCTAGGAATAGGTTAGGTTAGGTTAATATATAGGTAACTTAATTTTGTTTTACCTACCTTTAATATTGCATTAACTATTTGACACACATTATTGCGTTCCATTTAGACGGCAAAATATTTTCTTATATTTTCAAATTGAAACAAATGTCTGTTATTTTTTAACAATGTTTTATACATCGAAAAATATCGTTCTACAATTATTACGGAGATTAGCGGTGCATATTTAAAAAAAAAATAATTCATTTAATTTTGAGTCTTCGGGTAAACTGCATTCATTGAAAAAATTCTCCATTCAATATTTTTAAAATTTTATTTAATGTTTTAAAGCCAGTATTTTTGGATAAAATAATATCATCTATTTTTTGTTGTACTAATTTTTCCGCTGAATTCTGAAGCTTGCGATAATTTTAAATAGGCATTTTCTATTATCTCAATTTCATCGGAATATTTTTAAGAGTAAGTTGCTGTTGAGATTTATTTTAATCGATTTTATTTTGATTTTTTTTACATTTGATAACTACCTGATGTTTAATAGTGTTAATATGTTGTTGAACGTTGAATTTTTTATTACTGCCAACTTTTGAATCACACAATATACAATAAAATATCTTTTCGTCGGTTGTAAATACTAGATCACTACAATACTGAATTCCGACTCATAACCTTTCAAATGAAAAGCCAATGATTGTTTTTCTTTTGGCGTATTTGATAAAAAACAATTAATATTACTAGAACATTTTGAAAAAGGCGAAATAATATAGGTACGCGACAAAAATATTTCACGCAGTGCACATAACAATAGAACTGATGTAGGTACGCTATAAAATATGACGGACAACTGATTTTTTCTTCTTATACGCGTTTCAGTTTTATCGGTCAGATAGGTAAATTTACTATCTGACTAATATTTTTAAACAGAGAATTTACCAATTTGTAATTTTTTTGTCTAAGCTATTTTAAGAACTTATTTCGAAAATTTCCAAATGTGTTCTTCTTTTTTAATTTACTCAAATATGTGTTTATATGCAATAATGATATGCAAAAAAGATATGCAAAATACAATTTTAAATATGATCTTCTAGTATTTTCTTCTAATATTATGAAACATAGGTACTTATTGTTCACTTACATTATTTTACGATATTTCCAACAAAAAAATATGAAAAAACTAGAAATCCTCAACCTTATACTTCTTATATTATACAATTGCAATTTAAAATATTATAAATAGGAACTATAGATATTAGATACCTACACATTCAAATGTATAGTTTTAAATACATATTATAAAATTATCATATTTTCTTAATTATTTTACACAATAATTCGAAAACTTTATTATCTTCTTTCTATGTATTATAGGTGATTCTCTTAGAAGAATGTTGGTCGGAATTGTTCTTGTTGAACGCAGTCCAGTGGTGTTTACCACTGGAAAACAACCCGCTTTTCAACCCTTCGGATCACGTGGCAGCCATACCCAATGGTAAAGCCAGCCAAGTGGCAGCCGACATACGCGTACTCAATGAAACCCTGCGAAGGTTCAGAACCATCAGCGTCGACCCTGCCGAGTTCGCGTGCATGAAGGCTATCGTTTTGTTTAGAGCCGGTAACGATCACATTAATTATTCTAAATTATTTTCATTATAATATTAAACTATGAAGGAATGGAGGAATACTCGAAAGTAAACTTAAAGAAATAGATAGAGAGGGTTGTGTGGGTGTATGTGCGCGTGTGTAGTGTTTTTTACAAATAAGTACGAGTAGAATATTATTATAATAAGCATAAGCACATATTGTCTTTACAGATATATCAAATATATTTTCCTAAAACGTCATTGCGTTAAACAATAACACATCTTAAACCATTTAAGTACCTACAAGACATCAACCTACCTTTACTTATCTCATTTATAAAAAAATAACTACCTTACTACCATTAAGAATAATTACCAATTTTTTTCATTTAAATTTTTTTACAAAAATATATAACACAACCTAAACTCGTAGATCTAACTACAACACCCATTTTAAAGATAGAATTACTTATAAATAAAATTCTACTCGAAAATATTATGAGTAAAAACACAATACAAAGAAAACTTAACATTTAGTATAATTGAATTTATAGTTAATGTTTTCATCTTTGAATAAGCTTGGATTTAAATTCAATTAACTTTTAAATTAAATTTAAAAAACGTGTTCACGAAATTTTGAAATTCTCTCCGCTTATTTTGAATTACTACGACCACTGTACAATATATTTATGCATAATATGATGTTTTAATTAAATTTACATACATAAATATTAAATATGTATACTAAATGCATTCATGTAAGTAGGTGATAATTTTTTTTTCATTAAAAAAAAATTTACAGATTGTACAATAGAGAACAATAAATAAACATGATAAATAATTAATATATAAATTGACCTGAATGACATGATTGGGGGAAGAAGCTTATTAGATTATTATTTAATAAACAGTTTTTTATTATTATTATTAATTATTGTAGGTCACAGGACCACGCAGTTCCTTTTTAGACGTCGAATTGGGTTTTCGGGTAAGATGTGAGTGAGCATATTTTTTATAAGTGGGTTTATGTGAGAGTTAAGTTTAGAATGAAATCATTTAAATTAATAATACCAAAAAAAAACTTAACGATGCGACATTGCAGTGTACACTTTAGATCTTATAGGATTTATACAGATGTTATGGCGTCGTGCCTGTTTATACTACGACACATTTGATTAATCCGGAATTCTTATTGAAACCTTAATGTTTTTATTGAGTTTGGTTCCGGTTTGATCCACGAGAATGAAATAAATACCTAAATCATATTATAGTTACGGTCAGATTTAGAAAATAATATTTCAAGTTTATTATAAACTTTTTTAGAGTTAAAACTTAATTTATACATTATTTTGGTGGCAAATATGAAATCTATTTTCTGTATTCTATTGCTATTTATTATTTTCTACTTATCTATTATTGACTTACTTATACTAATATAATTATTGTATTGACGAATCTTAAAAATTAAAATTGATAGTGTTGGTTGTATACTTATATAGTTATATAACGCGTTGCCTATGTATTTGTACAATTTTTCATTCAAATTGATAAAACTACAAAAACTTTTGAATCTTAATGATATTTCACGCACAACGGATCATAATAACAATAAAAAAAAAATTTTAAATGATAGACGGCATCTAAAATTCTCAAAAATCTAGTTACATTTAAAATAGTGGTTTTTAAGAACGACATTACTTGTGGCGCGTTTATTATTGCGGCTGGTTGATAATCGAATGAGTTGTAGCTAGTGTATACAGCTGATGTATCTAGATTCTAGATACATCGCAACTCGCAATAGTATGGCAGGTACACTTATAAATCTCACACTCACAAAATGCAAAATAAGTTTTTTATACGTTCTACTCGGAGCTGTGGACAAATATCGTCGTCAACGTCCGCGCGAAACAGACTGTCTGAAACACTCCCTGCAACAGTTTAACATACACACTATATCTATACGTATGCGATTTTGCCTACCTACGAAATATGATAACATAATAATCTATAATAACACTTAACTATCGATTATGATGACTAATCGTGTATAATGGTTTTAGACACGCGGGGATTGAAAGATCCGATACAAGTGGAGAACCTGCAGGACCAAGCGCACGTCATGCTCGGCCAACACACCAGGAATCAACATCCTGGCCAGCCGGTTCGGTTCGGCCGGCTGCTGTTGATGTTGCCGTTGCTAAAAAACGTGCCGGCCGCCCGGATCGAGGCCATATTCTTTCAGCGGACCATCGGCAACATACCGATGGAAAAAGTCTTGTGCGACATGTACAAGAACTAATGGCGTAGCCGACAACGGACGATAACCATCCAACTCTCATGAATCATGATATTATAATTAATAATAACGTACAACGCGATACTTACCTACGTCACATACTATCGCGTCGTCGCGTATTAGGTATAGCCGGTATACCTATAGAAACTCAATTCAGCGGCTTTCATGATGTATGGAAGCAACACCTGTACGCCTACACTTGTAATACTATTACCCCTTTTGAACCCATTACGATATATTTCAAGGAACCGCGTAGAACCTTGTACAAAACATAGATTTACCTTCCGGGCGCCTTACGAGCACTTTTTAAGCAAGGAATGACACGGTTGATTTGGCCATTACTCGGCACGGCCGGCACGCACACTCATACTGTTATGCTCTATCGCGTCCAAACAAATTCGACGTGAAATGGGTAACGTACCCCTCCCCTCCCACCCAAAGACTAATAATCGCAATACGTGCCCGGATTTAATAAAAACGCGTGTGTTTAGATTTCAAAAATTAATTCTTATTTCATACTCATTGCGAACGGTTAAATTTTTATAATAATTTCCGCGTAACCATCGATAGATATCGCGATATTGTGATTTTGAGCATTGGTCTAAAATGTGATTTAGAAAATGTATGCAATATTAGATAATAGATAATAATAATAATAAAAGTAAAAGAATATAATAATTTGTATGGCCATAATATAACCGATGTTAATACAACTGGTTTTGTTTATCACTGCATGTTTAAAACGTGTATTATTGGACAACAATTATTGTTGAATTTAGTAATTTCTGATGTGAACTTTTTATTTCCAACGTGTGTTAATTACATTTAACATTATGTTGTAAATAAATTACACAAATAATAAAACGAATTGTAATTGTTTCAATCTGTAGATCACCAGAATTATGTTAAATCATACTTTAGATCATAGGTAACTAATAATGATACCTATTGTTGTAGGTACATTTTATCACTTCCGTATTTAGTGGCGTAGCCGTGAGGGCTGCAACCTTTCAAAGAAAATTTAAAAATGCTTCCGTTGTTCTGTGAACGTATTAGGTATGTAACTATATAAGACTTGGCCACGCATAAAAATTGTGATTTGTACGATGGATGATTGCTGTAAATAATTTATCCTAAAATGTTAAACGTGTATCATTACAGTCTTTTATGAATCCGAGTACCACCTACTCATTTTAAAAACGATCACTTAGAAGAGTGGTAAACAATGTTGGACCAAATAACCTTTTTAATAAAAAAAAACGTATATAATATTATTTGTAACTATTTCTAGTTTAGGTGCTTTGGTTAGGTTATAATTTAACCTAAATAATTATAAAAACATATGCATTTACTGCACGAAAAGTAAAATGGAATATTCATAATTATTTATTATGTAAAGTTGTTTTATTTTTTATAATTATTTTAATGATTATGGTTTAAATAATTTTATAAGAATGTCGGTGTTGCTTTGTATTAACAATAGGACATCAATAGCACATGTGACTTTCCAAGAACCACTGGTACGCCAAACTTCTGGAGGATTCTAATTAAATCTCCCCAATACAAAAAATTATGAACCTCCCTACACACACATATACATAACTACTATCAACACGTCAAAATCTTGGCAATGGCACAGCAAGGTATACCTAATATCTATATATTTACCTTATCTACCATTTATCAATGAGAATATGATTTTTTACCACTTTTAATTTGTTTTCTGTTTCTACCATATGATGTTTGTGTATATACTATATAGTATACATGTTGTAATACAACGGTTGTATAATAAGTAGATGCACATTTTATATGCGCGTGTGACACAATTACATTATTAGCGACATATTAAGGTATAAAATAAATAGCAAAATATGCTAAACATATAAATCAGTAGCTATTCAAGTTGTTTTAGATCATTCAGGTAATTCATCAAATTCTTAATTCAAATTATTACTTCCCTTTATTTAACTATACAATACTATTCCACTATAGTACAGTATTATTAGTTGGTTAATGGTTATTAAAGAAAAACATTTCAGTAACGGTTTCCAATTGTATACCATATTTACTTTAAATTTCCTTCCGATTACATACCCTAAGACTAAATGTATAATAATAATTGTAATGTCTCAATAACGATCAATATATTTTATTTTTATCACTTTTCCTTAATGTTATAAAATTATAAGCATGTAACGTTAACTATACTCATTGTTATGATTTTTTTTTTAATAAAAATTACAATTTTATGTTAACTGATTTAACTTTAATTAATTTAAGCACAGAGTCTCAGTTTTTTATATCTATACTAAGTATAATTATCAAGCACTAACACCTTTTTTTTTTTGTCATAATATCCAGTAGTATAAGTTTAGAAATTTTACAATAAAAATATAAAATATTATCAATTTATTGAATATATAATATTGGAGATTTATTTAAATTTAGATTTGTTTCTAGAACCATAGTATAGTAAATAGTTACTACATTATTAGGATATCTAAATCGCTGAATTTAATTTTAAAATTTTTTTATTCTTCAGCCATATTTCAATTAAGCTATAAAAAACAAAATTAAAAATTTGTTTAGTATATCTTCAAATGTATAATATATATTATAAAATCAATAATATTAATATATTACTTATCATATTATTAAACTTTGTTATTGTTGTTATTGTTGTTGCTGTTGCCATTGCTATGTTAAGTGTATTTAATTATTTTATGCTTAAAATAATTGAAATATTACCATATTTTTAATGTTTACCTTTTAATTACTTATATTTACTTGTATTTGTCTTTTCTTCAAAAATAAAATAATATGATTTATTATACATTATGTATAATTGTATTGATAATATTAATACTAATTATTATGTATTATACATTTAATATTTAAAATTTGCTTTTAATAATAAAAATGTATTTTAATATTGTGTAATAGGACATGCATATAAGTAGAAATGTACAGTATTAATTATTAGGTATAAATAATTTGTTTTAACATATTATATTAATATATAAAATCACAAATCCAGATTTTTTTTTTTATTGTTTTATATTACAAAATTTAAATTTTATCATAATGATGATAACTGATTAGAATTTTATGTCTTTTATCCAACAATTAAAATACTTTTCAGATATTTTATTTACAATGATACATATTTATTTTAGGTAGATACTAAAATTCATTAATGAATATCCAATTTTTGTTTTTTTGGTAAAGAACCAAAAGCTGAGATAATTGTTCCCTTTGTACCTGTTACAGATGTAGTAAGATCCCATTTACTTTTCTTGTCATCTTGTTTGTGGGAGCTTGAAACATTGATTGATGGAGTTTTTTTTGTACCAGACACAACTTCAACCTATAATTTAAATCAACAACATTTTAAAAACTATCTAAATTCAACAGGAACACAGAACTTACTTTAGTTTTTTCTTTTCTTTCTTTCTGTCTCTTTTCCATATCTTCTTTCTGCAAACGACCCAATTCTTCGTAAAACGATTCTTTGCCCCATCTTAAAGGATCATATAAATGAGGTGGATAATTTGTTCCTAATTCATTAATATTACAAAACTGTAAAAGTTTTTCATATATGCTGGGATTTCGAAAATCTTTCCTTTTTTGGATTAAAAAATTCATGTCCATGCCATCTTTTTCCATTTTTTCATGCAATCGCGTAATTTTATCTTGTAATTCTTTAGAGCATCTACCATGTGGCTCTGGCGGTAAAATATCTTCTTCATCATCTACATCTGAACGTCGGTCAATTTCCTCATCTGACATAACAATATCATGATCTTCAAAATATGATACAAGGTTAGTTTTTTTATCATCTTCTGGATTAGTTACAGCTGGAGCTGAATTCGGTATTTGTAGTTGAGGACTCGGTACATGTTCTGACTGAGGTTCATCCGAAATTGACATTTCTTCAATATTCCTACGTTGACTGGGTGTAGTACCTTCATCTTCAGAGTCTGTATAATTAGCAGTTAATGATGCAAGAGCTGACATTTTTTTTTTTTTTTTTATTGAATTTTAACTATAAATAATAATATTTTAAAATTAAAAATTACATACTTGTAATATCAAGTTAACTTAAAATTAAGGTGATCATACTGTTTGGTAAAAATAATTAAATGGCATTGATATAGGAAGAAGGATAAACTATCCAAAAGTTATATTGTTTAATATTGTTAATATAATAATTGGTAATTGGAATCAAATGACAAAACCTCATATCTACATTTTTAGAATTTTTTAGAGAAATTTATCTTGATACATTTAATTACATAAACAAAAATGATACATTTGGTATAATTCATGGAATAAGATATATATAATACCTATCTATTTACATAATATACATTTTCATAGTTTATATTTTACAAGAAAAAAATTAATTTATAATAAATAGAAAAGTATGATAAAACTACAATCATGTAAAAAGTTGTTCATAAACTTCCAACTACTGATTGTTTAGTTTACTGTTATATGAAGGAGCAATGGTGCTGATGTTAGTTTCAAATGGTATTACATAAAAATAAAATCTGAGATAGGAGGTACCAATAATCAGTAAATTTGTTATACTAAAATACAATTATACTCATAATTACACATCATAGAGTCATATAAGTCATAAATTATAATTTTGAATATTATGAAATATTTTTATAGGGAAATTATGTAACACGTCAAGAGTGAGAAACTATACAGTAGTTTTAATCAGACAAATGTAGCTGTGCTTTATTGTAATCTAAAGGATTCAGATATGGGACATAAATCAATTGCCATAAGACAATAGGACCATCACACTTAAGCCTAAAAACATGATAGTGCCATCACCTGATCAAAAGGGATATGATCAGAATAGAGAAAGGACCTACATACAAAAGCCCACGATAGGCTTCTCTGACATATGATTTATCTGAATTAGAACAAACACTTTTATGTCAGTCTAATCAGAATTATATTTTTTAGACTTGGAAATATTTTCAATAATAAAAAAAAAAAAAACTGAAATAATTTGAGACTCCAAGTTACTGCACATCTACACATGATTGCTTATAGAAAATGTCAGTCGGAAACCTGAACAGTACTCAGTTATTTTTTTACTGAAAATGGAAATTTAATACTCAAAGTTTTTTTGTAATTACATGCCATTTGAAAAATTTGTTAATTGTAAAAGATTACAGCAGGTTCACAGTGTCTATCTACCTGAAAGCAGTTAGAACATAAAAAACGTCAGGTTACTGTCAGTCACCTGTATATGAATCGCTACAGTGTTATTGATAATTATGAAGTCAGGAATGAGAAAACTACAATTTACAAATATGTAAATAATAATTACTACATTAGAGTCATGAAGTCTACAGTAAAAATTTAATTTAATACTGAATCTAGTATCTCTTACCTGCTGTAGGCTGAAATACCAGGAACTTGGATGTGCTATAGCTGCTTTAAAAAGTTGTAAATAATGTAGAAATCTAAATCAAACCAGTACTCGGTACTTCAGTAATCAGATAATCATTAATTTTTATAATGATTATCCTTCAATATTAATTTTTATGCTACATAGATAATAAAGAATAATGATAAATAATAAGGAATTCAAAATAAATCAACAGGAATCTACTGATTCTACTGTCTACTACTCTTACTATCTTTGTTATTATTATTACACAGCGCACTCTAGGTGATTATATTATATTATCAAGTCCGTATTAAAGGGGGGCGCACGGTCACTAATTTTATATAATTAATAATAATAAATAATAAATTATTATAAAATAAACATTTTCTTAGTTTTAATAGTTTTATACACGAATTTGATATTACAAAAAGTTTACTAAATGATAATAAGTTTTAAATTTTTATTCTAATAATTGATATATTATGTGGTAATAAATAATAATTGATATTAAGACGTATTCTTGATCTATTCGCATGAGGTGTCCATGTTTTATGATAAAAATAATTGTTCGGTCGAAGGAGCAATAACAATTAACGAGCTAAATCTAAATTATATACTATAATGTAATATTTTTATATTCATTTTAACCTTTGATCTAATATACTTATATATACTATATCAACTACAATATCTTTTCATGAATTACAACTGACAAGTCATAGAAGCTTGTACACACTACACACTTACACACTACACACTATCAAAAAAATAGTCATTACACCGCCTAAGGTTTTTGTACTTAGTAGTCGTGTATAAAAGTATTTGACTTATAAAGGTAATATTAAATTACAATACATTCAAATGTTGTAAGTTAATTTTGTATAATTTAATATGTTGTAATAGATACCTATAGACTATACTAACTCATTGTGATGGATAATTTATCACCTGTGATTGTAAATGCTGGCCTAGAAGCATTGACAAGATTTTTTGGTGATTTGGAATTTGAGTTAACACAGGTACCAAGTGCTTTGATACATGGATCTATTGTTGGTGTATGTTCTCTTCTTGGAGGACTTGTCGGTGGGAGGTTTGGAATTGTAGTTGGTGAGTATTAAAAAAATATCATGTTAGATACCGTATAAAATAGGATTTTTAGTTATTTTAATTTTTAAAACATAAAATTTTGACTAATATCTGAAATATTATCAGTTATGTACATCAGTTACAAATCAAAGGTTTTAACACACCTAAGACATTTTAAAAAAAATACTACCTATTTAGTTTTTTTTTTTGATAAGGGATCACTATATTGATCTTTTCGCAATAACTTTGACTTACTAGTTTATCTTAATTAAGCATGACCAGCTATTGTGTCTCCACTCATCAATATTCTTATCATTTGTGAAATAAATTGTCATTGAATTACTAACAACTACCCTACTGTCTATAGAAAACAACATGTTAAAAAGGTTTGGCCTCCTCTTAAGTCTTAATGACTGGATTAAATTTATAACTTATTCTTTTTACGGGGTGTCGCCACTAGGTGACTTCCCCCTCCCGTTAATCAATCATCACATTTACTTATTATACAGTAAATGCTTATAAGACTCACGGATATAAGGTTCAGTCACTTATTAGACTCAAAATCGTCTGGAACGGTCTGGACGTATCCAAATACATTAAAAAAAATCAGTTTAAAGACTCAAATTTCCTAAAATAAATAGTAGAAAATAAACTGTTTTGGTTATAATTTAGAAATAAATTGGTTTTGAAAAATGAAATAATATTCTTGTTAATTATTTCTAGTTTCTGTTGGTACCTTATAACGTATAATAATTTTTATCACAGATAAAAGTTCACATTTATCGCAACAATAATTATAACGATTATAATTTTAGTTTTTTTTATCGGGATTATTAAGTTTATTCAATAATAAAGTATGTAATATGTAATATGTGTTAATGTATTAAAATCAAAGCAAAATATGTAGTAAAATAAAATTTATAAATATGTAATTAATTTTTTTTTCCACTTTGCCTATAAGATTCATTCGGTTATAAGACTCACTTTTTGTGCTGGTCCCAAAGTGAGTCTTATAAGCGGCGTCTACTGTATAATATGTAAATACAGATTGTAAATATTATATTTTGTTCATTAAAAAAAAAAAAAAAACTTATTCTTATTTCACTATATAATATGTACATTCTGTTTTTACTACATCATACCTTTCTTGTATATCATATAATAATATTATTATTATAAAAAAAAAAAATATTGAATGATTTCATTTGTTTAGACATAATTGATATAGATATATTAATAATTATATGCATTTTTTTATCAACTTAATTTAATTTTCCATTTTTCTTCAAGTTTATTTTTGTTATTTTTATTATTAATAAAGTATTTATGCCAACATATTTCTCCATCACCTAAATTAATTATTATTTATTAGCATTGATTATTACTTAATATTAAATTTATTATTAAACTATTTAGTCTATATAATATAACATATTATATAATTTAATAATCATCCCTTGTACCATATTACTTGTATAGCAATTTTTTAATGCATTAATAACACAAAATCAAGTTGAAATTTCAATATATATCAAATCAGAATCAGCTTTTTTACCTATTTTTGTTATTTCAGGAGGAGGCATTGGACACCAGATTAACAATTTCTTACTACCAAGTATTAGAAATGTTGGAAACATGTTACGAGAATTACATACAGAGCAACTTCAAAATTTGTTTGATTTACTGATAAGTAGAATTCAAAACATAGTTTCTACAATATTGGATCAAATAGTAAATCAAAACCAATCCCTGACAGACCTTCTTGAAAGATTTGGAAATAATTCTGAAGTTCGGATGGTCATAATTCAAACTCTTATAAATTTCTTCAGTGGTATTCATGGTGGCAATATGCGTCTAGTTAATCCATGATAATTTTTATTTTTATTAGTTTTTTCCTCAGGTTATTTTTTTACTCATTTACATGTTTATTTTAATCAATTTTTAAGTATTTTTTATAACATCAATGAATAATTAAGATTAAAACTATTCATTTTTTCTTAATAATAAATATAAATGTTTTTATTACATAAAATAATTACAATTTATTGTTCACCAATTATGAAATATTTAATTTAATGACCTGTTTATTACAAATTGGTATGTTTGATAAATAATTATTTTTTTTGGGATTAGTTATGTGATCTAAGCTATCAAATAAACAACAATACATATTGGTTTACTTTTTTGCTTACATACTTACCTTATATTATAAAAACATAAGTTTTGTGCTTTATTATAAGACTGAGTAAATTATTTGTATATCTAATACCATTGATTATAGAATATTCTATAATCAATGCTAATACTAAAAATATTATTTGTATAAAAATATTATATACCCAGTTTTACTTACTTGTACAATATTATAATTTTTAAATTTTTTTCATGTTCTATTATAATCTTAAAAGTTAAATGTTTGACTTACGACTGAAGCTATATAAATGTAAACACCTGCGGTTTTTAACCTTTTGTAGATCACAGACCCGTGATCAAAGATTTTTAGAAATCACAGATCCCCTTACCAATTTTTTTTCGAATATCTTTCTTTTATAAAACGTCACGTATTGACACATGTTATGTGTTATAGCTGCTACAGACCCTCAATTTGAGTACTATGGACTTTCAGGGGGCCGTGGACCATAGATTAATAACCGCTACATTAAACTATAGTTGTCATTATATAAAATTATACAACAATTCATATCAATAATTATTATAATTGTGAGAATTTAAATTTTTATTAAATGATTAAAATAGTTGTATCATTAGGTATATATATATATATATTAAGGAACTATTAATAAGTAGTTATAATTTATAAATTGGTGTTTTACTATTTACAAAGCCCTTTTATTTATTTTAAATCTAGTTCCTAGTAACTATGTACTACTAGTCTCCAACTCGGTGTTTTGTTTACAAGCCCTAGAACCCTATCCTTTAAATTCTAAACTGTCCTCTCTCGTTTTTCTTATTAAATCATTTAAATTACCTCAATCAGTCAAACTTCTTAATTTAACTTTTGTGGATCCCCAGCCACATTGGCATATCGGCGAGGGGCTGTTTGTTTGAATATTGTGTGCACAAATGAACATGTACAAACGAAAAATGTTCGAATTCGTGCTGATTTAATTCTAGGAATTCAAATAATAATCAATTTTCTCTAGAAAAGTTTTTTTTTTAATAAATTGAAATAGTTGATTACTTTTTCAATAAAAGAGTCAGGATTAGTTGCATTGGATGATTTATTGTATGTTATAGCTTATAGGTGAAAAGTGTGGAATTATTTATGAAGATTATATTGAAATTTACAATCCCATAACACAATAGCAACTATTTTCAATCCAGTAGTTAAAATATTTGAAATTACTTGTTTAATATATAAGACTAAACAATTAGTTTTTGTGGTTCCATTACAAAGTTAGTAAGGAATTGGTTGCTTCCACTTTTTTTTTTATTCCCCTTATCATGAAAACAAGAACATGATCTGAAAACTGTGCCGTGGTTGTATGTTCATTATTGATCTCGAATCCAAATATAATGTCATTTTTGTATTATAGGTTAACCCAGGTTCTAAAGCCACTTCATCGAAAAGAAGAACACATTTTTTGTCAACTTCTTTCATTTTTCTTACTTGACATTTTAAGTTTTCAAAGATATGTGGGTTAATTTCAGGGTGGAAAGGTATTTTGTTCAACAATTTAGACAGGGTCTTGCGTGATGGTAGTGCAAATACTGTAGATAAAAATCCAGGGGTGGGCGACCGCCCAGGGCGCCAATATATCAGGGGCGCCTTCAGAGTTCAAAATAAATATTAATTTTTTAATAATAGTTTTTGTAATTCAAGTAAATACAATTATGTATAGCAAAAATTTAAAGAATCTTGAGAAAAACCATATTTGTTACCTTAGATCATATGATCTAAGTTTGTTACATACTAACGATTAACGAAAATAGATAGCGAATCAATGATGCGGGTACTGATAATCTTATTTCGTGAGTCAGTTTGACAGGTATTACGTACAATACCCGCCACAGTTGATTATCTGTGTTAAGTTGTCCTACAATAATTTGTTTTAATATCGAATAATGAACATTTAATTTTCGTAAGTGAATAAGTAATCATATTTTATAATATAATATAAATTATAATAATACTTTACGATAGAGTATAGAGTATTGTCGTGTATTGTAAACAGTTGTCAAAATAATATTATTAAATATATATGAGGGGATATTTCAAACTAAAATTATTAACATAGGATAGACCAGTGAAACAAAATGTACCGAGGCGACAACAACATTTTGTATAATAATATAACACCGCCGTACGCACAGGCAGAGTAAGGCGTTATTCGAATGAAATTTTATTTAGATGATTATTTAGATAATATTTTATTCGAATGATTTTTTCACGATTATTCGAATAATAACGTTTGAAAATTATTCGAAAAAAGTATGTAATAACTAATTACCTATTTGGTTAACAAAATTGACTACAAATCTGAATAAAAAATTCAAGACTGATCTTTAAAATTTCATTTCAAGGTTTTAAACACAAAAGCACATAAAACACAAACATATAAACATTAAACATGTACATGCAACACAGATTAATTTGTACTTATTTAATTGGTTTGAATACTTGGTAAATTTAGTGTTGGTAGAGATTTGCATTTTAAACGTTTTGTTCCTGGACTTTTACATGACAATTCAAAATGTTGTTCACAAATAACAAATGAATTGTATATTTGTGCATGGTTCATTTTAAGTAAAGTCTCATTACCAGTACTTACTACCCAAATTTTAAAATCTTCCGGAGACTTTAATGGAAAGCGATGCATAGGGACTTTACGGCTATTACAACCTTTCACAATACAATTCTTGGACGGCATTATTCTGTATTAAATTAAATAAATGCCTATATAACACAATTTAAATATTTTCCACAGAATATCAACTATTATGACCTATATTAGATAGTCTAGGACACGGTCTTAGAAGATCTTCTAAGACCGTGGTCTAGGATTTATAACCTAATCTCTAGATCTAATCATTATTCTACGGATCTAATCTTTATTATGTGCATATTCTGTGTGTCAACTGTCAACGCCAAGATTATAATCTTTATTCTATATTTCTATGATTATAATAATAATTAATAATGGTAAAATAATCATGGTCAACACATTTACCTATAATAAAATATGTCATCTCATATTTCATAATATTATTATTTATATTTACTATGATAATTTTTATTGTTATGATGATAAGATAGTTGTGATTATATTATCAAATTTGTCATGGATAGCTGAAGTTTTGTATTCGTATTCCTCCATGATATCGATGACGCGCTACTGGCGTCTGTAGTAACAACTAATAAGTTGGGTCATGTTTTATATCTCTGGAGTGCACATCCCCTGGTTAGTGGTTGTACAGTGCACAACCGGGGGTAGACTGATCCTTGGCGGGAGGGCGAGAGAGATATCGTTTTAAGTTTTAATCTCTTTCTATGATTGATTGTGCGATGTCGAGATCTCACTAAAAGCCTATTTATTACGTGTTTAACATAATAGTATTTTATCTATGTAATAATAAGTATTATTGTTATTGAGTTTTATCGTGTCGTGACCGGTTATCGTGTTTTAATACGTTCCGCGTTTTACGAAAAATTCTAAATCCCTGTGATGCGATACAACCACAATGCACGTCTTACATAATATTATGTAATAATTTCATCTGCGCGATTATCGTCAAGTACACAGTTTTGAAAACTTATTGAAATGTCCATATGATTGCTTGTTCGACGACAGCTATGAATAACTGTTTTATTTTGTTGTTAGCGATACTCTATCATCAGACTAGTAAGAATGTTACATATTACACATTTAAAAATTCTATTCTATTGAATATTTTCTAAACGTACATTTGTTGCTGCAGGTAACATCAAAGCCGACTGCCTAGACAACAACGGCCGAACTGTTCAAGAGGGAAAAACGTACATACCGGGCCCAGAAATCTGCACTCGCTGTATGTGCGACAACTCTGTAGCTAAATGGTGTCACCCTGTGCTATGTACTGCTCCACAGGTACTTATTTTTTTTTTTAACTTAAGTAATTTATAAATTTGTAAATTGTTAGTATTAAATTATTATTATTTTTAAAACAGAGACCAAAGCTGTATTATTATTTATTGTGTTTTTATTTGGTTGATTATCACATAAGTAACTAATACAATTTTATTTAACTTTAGGATTGCAAGTCGTATACAACTGTTGGAAATATATGCTGTGAATTCAATTGTTTGGATGAAACTCTCAAAGGCGATAATATTAATGCCAGATCAATTGCCAGCACTGTAACAGCATTTTTATTTTTCATATTAATTGTTTTCCTCATCAATCGGTTACATAAAAGAAATATAATGTCAAGTAAGATTAAATTTGTATTTTAACATTGATTTTTATATATTTTTATTTTGCCTGGTTTAATTGTATTAATCAATAAAATTATTTTTATACCAAATTTATTTTCAAGAATCAACTCATTTATTAAATAATATTTTAATTATAGTTAATAATTATTTTTTTGTTTTGAAAAATATGATTGCATTTTTTAAAAGAAGTGTAATTTTAACTTACTGAAAGAATATGAATAAAATACTGAAAACATTGTTTTCAAGTTTAGATTTATTACTTATTTGTTAGTTATTATATTGTATGCGTAGTTAGTAGTTAATAACCTATATAGTTGTGAGTAATGATTTAAATCATACAAAAAGTTAACTTGTTCTGGTTACCTTAAATTATAAAACCTCTGTATATTTAAAAGCAAATTGTATTGCAATATAGATGGAGAAGTATTTACTGATCCAAACTCACTTCAAATGGGTGAAGGTGTACGTGGAATTGGATTTATTAGTGGCTACATGAATTTACCTAGGCCTGATTTATATTATGGTGATCATGCAACACTTCATATACCTTTATGGAAGACATACTATCCACGTGGTGATGCACCTCCTCCATATGATGAAGCTATTGCATTACCTCACCAAATAGTACCCCAACAATTAAATACTCTAGTAGATGAAGTTACAGCTTACCATAGAACTATACCTTTTACCATGACTGAAGTTGAACAAAATAATCAGCCACAAGCTTCTGATGACCCCGAGACTGAACCAACTACCAACCAGCCATTTTTAAATGATAGTAATAAATATAAATATTTTATACTTGTGTCTGTCATATGCTAACTAATTTATTATTTTAGATCAAATGAATAATGATAAATATCAATGTCATGATAAAATAACTAAAATTTCTAACGATGATTTCCGAGAAGAATGTGAAAATTGTAAGCATGAGCAAGAACTTGCTGAAGGGTATGATGATATTTTTCCTGAACCAGAAACAATGACGCTAGAGCGAAGACCACAATTATTAACTCATGAGCATGTGGTAGATGGTAATGAGCCACGTTCATCAATGACATTACCTGATAATGGAAGATTACGAAGGTACTTGAATTTATATTTTATTATTGAGCTACTATTTTTAATACAAAAAATTATAACTTTGTAAATTACATAGGCCTCATGTTGGTAACTTAAAAGATAAATATAGAGATGGATGGTTCAAAGAAACTAGTTTAAAAGAAAATTCAACTTCTGATGAAGATCAGCTATAATAGAAAAGGATCCTTGTTTATTGGTATAATACTTTGTTATTATGGGTAAGTATGAAAATTGCTTAAGTACTAAGCACTTAGCACCAATTTAATTGTTGATTATTATTTCTGTACGTTTAAAAAACTTATTTGTTTTAAAAATTTAATTAGAACCCTGTATCTTAGTTCTTGATATCAATATATTTCTATTATAATGATTTAAATTTTACCTTATATGGTAATAAGTAATAAATAATAGTTTAATGTTTTAATTTCACAAATGTCTGTCTTTAATACAAATATTACTTTTTTCTCAATGTATTAATACTGATATATTAGTTTAATATACAACTAAGATTTATATTTTATAATTTATAAGATCTCAGCTAAAATAATATTTATATTTTTTAATCATATTATTTATAAAAAATAATTGTTTTTAGTTTGTATACTTTCCTGTGATAATTAGTTATTTTAGATAGCTTCTAGTTAAATTGTATTATTGTGCCATATAAGTATTTTAATTTTTTTATAGATATAGTTTATAGATTTTAATTGTTTTCAATATTAATTTATTTTAAATTTCTGTTTATTGTACACTTTCCATTAAATATTTTAACTTTTCTATAACATTATTTATCCTACTTATTTTAAATAAAATTAGAAAACTAGTACATCCTTGTCATCATGTAAAAAGTGTTTAATTGATTTAAAATGATTTTAGACAATTTTTAGTAAATTACTGTAAGATTAATTAAATTGTATCTATTAAAGTAATAATTTCATCAGCTTTAATTTATAAATAAATTGTTAGTAAATTATATTTTAAGATAATTTATTGTGATTTTAACTATACCAAAAATTGTATAAAAAATTATTACTTTAAATGATTCATCCTTAATTGTTTCATAGGTAGTTAGAATAGTATATAATTTATCGTTATTATGGAATGGACAATAATATATTAATATTCTTTTTTATTTAAAGTTAAAAAAATAGGTTATTAATTTGTGTAAAATTATTAACATATAATATTTATTTTATTATTAAATTACCTGTTTTTTTTTTTTTATTATTTTATTAGTTTTTAATTTTTATAATGATTGAATTATTCTACATAGTATTTATTGATAGAAATAATAGTACCTATTACTCAAATAATCTAATATTATTTTCTTTAATATTGACTAGAGTTCCTATAATTATTCAAATATTTTTTTTCTTTACTAGTAAAGCGCACTAAATAATTCAAATATTTTTTTGTTATTTATTTGATGTAAATATTCATAAATATTCTTTTGTAAGTAATTTATGCCTCAATCTTAAAAAATTAAATATAATCAATATAATCATATATTTTATGATTTTATTAAGTATGTTTATACCTTCAATGATTTCATGAATGTTGTATGTTTATTAATTAGTATAGAGTGAAGAATTAAAATAATTAATCTATTTTCCAAAAAATGTACATAAAAATATAAGTAAATATAATATAAAAAAACCTTGTTGCTAGTAGTATTATTAATGCTACCATTCCCAATTTTTTATTTTTGTTATAATACCACTGCCATTATTTTTATTTTTCCTTATTAACTCCCGTTTTAACTAAGTTTGAATTTTAATATTTTGTTTAATATATCTATCAATGTTTAATAATAATTTTATTTGACTATGATGTTAACCAGAAAACCTTAAACTTTGATCCAAGTTTGTTAGGTTTTATGTGTATAAGTATTAATTAATGATTCAATTCAATTGCACTTTATATACCTATTCCTTTTTTTATATTCTTGAATGAGTGTACTTAGTTATAAGCAAATACATTCTTACCGTTATTTATATTTATTTTATTTACTATTCTAAGTATGATATTCATATTTTTTTTAAGATTAAGAGAATTAACTATTCCATTGAATATATGTATTTTTTAGTTATTGCTAGGCTTAGGAAATTCTAGCTTCTAAAATATATATTTTTTATTTGGATTATTAAAAGACTATCAGGGTTAAATAAAAATTCTATTTAAGATGTACCCAATCTAAATTCAAAATTGTATCTACATATTTTAAATTTTTTACTTATTATTGCACATTTTCTCACTACATAGATTTTTGAGATTTTCTTTGGCCAATGCTGCATACACAGAAATAACAGTTTGTTCTTAAAGATGTAATTATAGATTGTGTAGGTATTGTATGCTTTTCCACACAATAAACTTTTTACTCCTTGTATCCAAAGTATATCTTTATATGGTATTAATGTATTATTTTGTTGTTATTAAAGGATCAGATGACATTCAAATGGAAGTTATATTTCTGTACAATAAAAAAAAAAAATAGTAATGCAAATTAATATAAATTATAAATTTGAATAATTCTGTCTAACATTATAATTACTAATAAATAAAAATATTACAATTTATGGTATTTTTTGGTGTATAATTGATTTTTTTTTTTTTTATTAGTAAATATTTGTGAGTTTTTTAGAGCTATAATTTCCTAAGCCTAGTTTTTAAGTTAATTTAAAAATAATTTTTTTTATTCTGTAAATGTATTTCATGTAAGTATAATTGTCAAATGTTTATGTTTAGTAAAAAAGAACTAAAATACTGGAAATAATTGTGTGTTGTAATACAACAGTGTCTGACAGCTAATTTAATTTTATTTAAAATTTTATTACTGTACTTTCAAAGTTTTAAATAAAATTGATAATTGCAATTAAACATTGTTATTTGTTTGTTACAATTTTTATTTTACAAATATGAGTCTGTTGTTCTTATTAAACATAATTAATAACTTATTCCAATTATTTATTATTAAATATTAAACCTTCTTTGGGAAACATAAGACATTGTTGATAGTTTTTCGTCCCCGTATCACTCAAATACTCAAATTATCTCTGTGGCTTGTGGTAATATAACTTTTAAATAATAAATATTAATGCGGTTTTTCAACAATCATCTAAAATAAAAAGTATTTATGCCATTAAATTGAAATTTTCTTATAAATAACTGTTGAAATTTTTTTATTAAATATATTGATTAGGTATTGATTTATCTTGTCTCGTAGATTATTTATAGTGATGTATTTTCTTTGGGTCATACTGTATGTTTATGAGCTTAAAATAATTATTATATATTAAATCATCGTTCAGGACGTAAAAGAGTTAAATAACTATTTTTAGAGAAATTCACGATGATTCGTTTTAACATTTTTTAAATTAATTAAGGTTTTAATAAAATGTCTAATTATTATGAATGGATATTTCCTTATACAGCATTTATTTTAACTATTCGTAGGCAATTCAGTGTTATTGATAATCAATTTCCATACTATAATGGGACCTAAAAATAAATAAATACAAGTGTGGTATTTTCCCGAAAATTGGACAATTACTGTACCTATATCAGATATTGGTAAAATTTAAAATTGAATTTAACTCTTGTTATATTTAATATTACAATGTACTTACCTATGATTAAACTTAAAAGTATGAATATAAATTACTAGATCTCTTAATGAGAGTTAAAGACTTAAATAAGTAATAAAAATAATAATTTTAAAAAACACGATTAAAATTAAATGTCTGGAAATTTTTTTGATTTCATACTCACAAAATCTTCAATTACATTTTGAAATTAATTTTCCTCTAAACATCAAATTCTGAGCTCATTCTTACAAGTTAAGTCTGTCTCCGTCAATAGAAGTACATAACCTATTTTTGATGTATTTTAAACAAGAGAATGATCTTTCACTACTGCAGTTAATTATTATAAGAACAAGATAAATGCGAAGAACCATTTTAAAATTAGAAAAGCAATATTTTACTTCTTTATTAATTAAAATAATAGTATGCATTAAATGTTCCGGTTAAAGTAACTAAAATCGTTGGTTTCATTATTAAAAACTTTGTTAAGTTTTAAGTTTTTTAAACTGAATAAACTCATTTTCTAAATTTATAGCTATGTCATACCGGTAAATCTTGACTAGTTCAATTGTTTTATTTTTAATTTCTGTGATGTAAGTGAGTTGATTCCCGAGACCTATTTTATGCACAAGTTGATTCTCGGGTTAATAAGAGGTATGTACCAGTTGATTCCCTATTGTTGCAGTATATCAGTTTAAGATGTAGGAGCAATGGGACTAAAAAATCTAAGAAAAACCAAGAAGAAATAATTTATCAAGAAAATTGATGTCGTGGTATACTGGTAATCTCATTACCAGATACCAATTTTTAAAAACAATGTGTTATAAATTTTTACCAAATTACTGAATATTTTAATAATAATTTTTTACCTTATTACTAAATTTTTTATAAATAATAAATGTATTATAATGCAATAAATAACTAATAAATAAAAATACAAAAAACTAAAGAGAACAACATTTTTGAGAAACTTGTCTACCAGCCTCCTTGTGGTGTTTCTTGGGCTACGCGCTAATAGGCTGAATATTTGAATGAATATTGAAAAAAATATATAACGACCTGGGAATCAACTTGAACAAACTTCTTGATGACTCGGTAATCGACTAGTACGCAGTCAATTTCTGTATCATTTAATTATTTTAATTTTTGAAGAACACCAAATTGTTGGTTTACCAATTCATAGGCAGACAATTGCTTATCAAGTTAAGAATAAACGTATATAATATAACTGGGAACAATTTTGAATTTTTGAGAAGGTGTTAAATCTACCCCGGGCATTTCATTAGAATCTATTGGGTTCAAACGGATGTTTCTTTGCCGTTTACAAACTTTTAAATAATCTCTTGTTTTCTGAAATGTTTACCCCTCGTTTTTCACAATGTTCAAAGTGATTGCGTTTGGATTGAACGTCTTTAAAGACTTTATGACAGAAACTGCCGAGTTTAAGTCTAAAGTAGGATTTTGTAGTAATTTATTAATGCTATCTACCCTTTTAAAGACATAATTCCCAAAAACTATTGTACCATTACAGTTGAACAACGCCGTACTATTGTTGATATTATACTGATTAAACCAATATAATTGTTTTCGACGAAAAATTCGTCGTTCGTTGTCGACCGTCGCGTCGTGTTAATAATAATTTGGACGTACAAACGTCTTAAATCCTTGATTGCTTCTAGAGAACAGCATGATAACTCTTTTTTTCTAGATTTATCGCTTATTTATACTTGGACGCGTATTACATTCGTTAATACGACA